ACCATAATGGTCAAGTATGTGTGCATATTACCTACAATGTACAGGTAAGAATGGGAGATTTCAGTCTGAACTAGTTAGATAAAATGTGCAGAAAGAAGTTAAAGGAGATTGACAATAAGTTTTAGCTGACTCAGAGGAGAATCGAACGAGAATAAGATGTCCAGGGCGCTCTGGTAGATGCTGATGCCTACGGAGGCCAGTTTGACAACAGGGAATATAGCACCATGGTGTGTGTTTTGCTGGATATGGCTCCTGGCACCCCAGCTAATGTCAGCTGCACAAGCTATCTAGCTAGCAGCAGCTAACATTACTGTTAGCATTTACTATTTTAAGCAACAAGTCCAACAGGAAACTCTGTAGATCACTTTGGTACCACTGTTGTCAAGCTGGCCATCTGTCTCAGAGGAGACATTGGACGCTAACAGTAGCTACATTAGCAGTTAGCTGGGTTGAGGCAGAGCAGCCAGAGAACATTTCCTCTATAAAATATGATCCAGTTTCACCCAAATCACTGATAAAGTTGTGTTTTTATACAGTACGCAGTGAGGCCTGGCCCCCAGAAACACTCATGGCAGAAAGCCATGCTGTGGCTAGCTAACTAATGCTCTGTGTCTCTCAAAGTTGTAGATTAATTGATGGATGTCTTGATTATTATTGATTGACATTGGTTGGTTAACGCTTATGTATGATATAAAAATATGAAGAATGGATTGTTTTGTAAAGGTTCTGGCATAAATTGTTCAATGTGTGTACAATGCTTGGGGCTTGAGATCATTTTTTTATAAGTCCATGAAGGAGTGGTCCAAAAACTGAGAAGGTAACCCATACCAGCCTGAGGAAACACGAGGGAGCAGGCTGAAAACTACCAATACTAGGACAAACTAGCAATGAAACAAAGAAGCTAAAGGCTAAATACACAGGTGAGAACAAGACACAGGTAAAAATAATCAGGGCGGGGCTTACAATCAAAACTGGAGGGAAAACAGACAAAGACAGGAAGTGAATTAACACAAGAGGATAACATAAACAAAATAAAACAGGAAACAACCAAAATCATGACAACAAAAAGTAATTAATGCACATAAAATACTTCAGAATCTTACATAATACCTTTAAATGACACTTTTGTTTGAAGGACATTCATATTTCTGTATAATTAGTATCACATTACATAGATCTTTCCAGGAGTCAGGGTAAGATTAGGATGTCATTTGCATGTTGCTTTTGTCCAAAGCGAAGGGCAAATAATCCAAGCTACAGTAGATCAAGCAGAAGTCTACGAGAATAAGTGCTGCAACACTCAGTTCCATGTTCCACCTGACACCTGACAAGTGCCACAGGGTTGCAGGTTGCAGGTGCATGAAGAAAGTGCATAGCAAATGACTTAGCAAAGAGAAAGAGAGAGAACATTATGTAAGTACTCTTGGAAGAATTATTTTCTTATGACTTTTTCCAGCACTGTGAGCACTAATTTTCATTCACCTTGATCGGACTGAAGGTGAACTAATCTCAGAAACATATTGCAAAACATGAGCAAATAAAACCAAAAGTACCTGCATGACTAAACACTAAATACCACCACAGGTAAGTGATGGGATCATGTGTTTTTCCTATTTTAGGCTACAGTACAGAAAACTACAATTGAGCTACCAATTTATGTGCTCTGCTGGGAATAAACTGATGATTTTTGGTGTCGTAATGACCCGCCCAAACATCTCCTGTTAACATTATTTATTACTTTAAAACCACATAATTTTGGCTCTCAACTTATAGCTAAAGACAGACTGCTCAACAACGGGAAAAAAGCAGATAGTATAAATGAGAATATTCCAATCCTGTACTCTTTTCCTTCTCTCATACCATCCTCCTCTCCTCCCCTTTACTCTCCTGTACTCTATATAGAACTGTAATTACAGTGTCTTCTTTTTCTTATTAGCAGATAAGACTTTCATAATGGTTCCCTGGAGAGCCTGTCCAAACTTAATTAACGCTGGCTAAACAGTCCCGTCTCTCCTTCTGTCTCTCTCTCTTCCTTTTGCCCTCTATCTCTCTTGCTCTCTCTCCTCCTCACCTCTCTCTCTCTTTCTCTCTGTCTCTCTCTCTATTTGTCTCTACCTCTTATTAGACAATGGCAGCTGCAGGGAGAAGGAGCCCACCCGTCATTGATAAGTGGTAGAAAGCCCTGCACAGGAAAATGAAAGCTGGACTTGACACAGGCTTGACTCAGACAACACTGAACAACCATTGGGGGTTATTGCTGTTGCTGTTGTGTGTGCTAATTTGCTCGCTGAATTGAATAGTTTGTGTGTATGTGTGTGTGTCTGTGTGTGTGAGGATCTAATTCCTCTGAGCGGTGTAAGCCCTGAAATCGTGCTCTGATCTTCGGCTGAGTAGCCCGCTCTTTTTATTCCCATTTGTTTGACTTAGAGAGATTAGCCATTAATTACTGGCTAGAGAAATGAAGCACACACCGACACACACACACACACACACACACACACACACACACACACACACACACACACACACACACACACACACACACACACAACCACACACAGTGCGGTACAGAGCTGTTAAATAGCGCTCATTACATCACCCCTACCGCACAGGCCAAAGGCACATAGAGCTGAAACAGCATCGTCTAACAGGACTCACACACGTGTGTATGTAGATACACACACAGCTGCTGGGGGAAATATTGGCCAAAAGATGCTGTTCTGGGCGAAATCTGGCAGGTTTTAGCTGAGTATAACATCAACCTCCTGCATGAAAGCACATGGGAGGATTAGACCCGGAGAGACAAGCTGACCAAAGCCAAGACAGGATGAAGAATATCGCAAACACAAGGCACCTGAGCAAGCACAAAGGCAGGCTGTTCAGTGTTTGCACAGAGCCCATCAGAGCTTTCCAAAAGCCTTTACATCATGTTGAGCTTCTTTTCACACCGTCCAAATGAGTGCTGTGACCCCCTGAGAATAGATTAGAATAAAGTAGAACTCTGACACACTGGCAAAAGATGAAATTAAAGCTGCACTAGTTAACTTTTTCATCTCAACAATGGATCCGATTTGTGCAATGTAAAAGTTTCTAGTGACAATCGCACAGATAAATATCTGCAGTCCCCTCAGTTCTACAAAATGTGTGTCTTTCAGCTAATTTCCATTTGTAGCTGTGATTAAAAAAAGTGCTGATGAATCCAATGTGTGTATGCTACCTGTTTGTCACTAAATGCTTGTAACTACACATTTAGCAGCTAAAGAGCCAGACATGTTTCCTCAGGAGTTGGTGGAGAACAAAGCAGAGCAAGGTAATGTTAGAGTTAGATAAGTCTGTCCAGGCCAGAAACATGACTCCAAATCACGTCATCATTACAACTATGTAAGGTACGTTAATGTTGTGTTTTGAGCTTGTTGCGCTACTCCCATATGGCAAAACAGCTGCACTAAGCAACAGCTTTAATTTAACAGCACATCAAATGAATGAGTGGCTTACAGGGACGAACCCACAGAGAATTATCACCATTTAGTGGCTCATTAGATATATACCTCATGAGTTGGAGGAGACCAAAACAAAGCTAAAAGGACAGCATGTGTAAGTATTAAACAAGACTTTTGTATTCATTGGATGGACAGTAACATAACTCCAAATTAATGTTGCTCCATGTGTAAATAGGTAACTTTATATGGTGATAATGTAATTTGGTTTCTGCTTGTTTCCCCAGGTACCGAAAATCAATTAAGGCAGCTTTAATTAATCAAGGGGATTAAAGACCCCTCCAGACAAGTTTGAAAAAAATATAAGAATACTCAATAGAAAAGTAAAATTACCTCCTTAAAAACTCAATTACACCCACTCCTTCTCCCTCCAGAATCTGTGAATATGCAAATAGTTTATTTCAAAAGTGTAACTGGATAACTTGAATAACTTGACTGGAGGTTATTCTATCGCACTTGTATAAGTTGCATACTGGACCATGATGGCTTCCAAACCAGTTGTGTACATGTGTTTGGATTGAAGGAACACACAGAGAAACTTTCCACCTGTAGCAGATGAACATGAAAACATCCTTCTGTTGTGAAGTCATTTTCACTTGTGATGGTGTAGTGACTTATTATTTACGTTACACTTTGATTAGACAGTACTACAGATGTTTCCAAGCAACCAGTCTTCACATTACTGTAACATTCCTTTAACTGTGAAACACAATTTAGTAAATGACTAAAACGAATGAAGAATGAATAGCTGGTGCAACACAGTCCTGGAGAGCTGTTCTGTCCTTTATTCTGAGGACACAGCAACAAGGAACTCACACATAACAACCTTTATCTTCTCCTATGTTATTCCCTGCATTTTTATCCTCTAAAGAAAAAATAAGTGTATTACTCCTTTAGGCTACAATCGGAGGCATAAAAAGCGGAGTTGTGATTCACGACTGTGTCTGTTGCACTTTACAAGAGTCAGTCCTCACCACTGCCACATTTCATCCTGTTGACTAAGAGTCAAGGTCACTGACAGAAGGCTGTTACAGCAGCTCAGCTTTCATCTCAGAGACAGAAATGACTCTGCCAATATGTTTTATTCATTATGTCACTCCTTCACCCTAAAAACAGAATGTATTTAGCTTCTTTTGCATGTGGATGCTAGCACAAACAACACAAATATGAACAGATGAGCACTTTTGATCACTTGAATTTTCAGAAAATGAAGAACACTGGAAGCAGAGGAGACTGTAGTGTGTGTGTCTGCCTCCCTCTAGTGGTCTGAAGACAAGGCTCTACTGTATACTGTACATACACAGCCAGTCAGTAGTTGTTTTTTGGGCTTTTATTGCCTTTAATGGACAGTGACAGCTGAAAAGTGACAGAAAAAGGGGTAGAGAGAGGGGATGACACACAGCAAAGGGCCACAGGACACCCCAACTGGTCAGAAGTTAATATGACACCATGCTGTACCACAAATTCACAAACAACAAGAAGAAAAAAAAAAAACAAGAGCCGAGAATTGTAATTTGTCTTTATTGTTTAAATTCACCAAAAAGTTTTCTGCATAACTACATCCAACAGCATTCATTGTTGTCGTCACTGTGACCTCATAAACACCCGAGTGACGATAGTGTGACATCATCAGTGCCACCATGACGTCACAGCATCATGACATGGCTCAAACGGCAGAAAAAAACTACTGACAGTCAGTCCATCCCAGAGTCCATCGTCAATAAAAGCATCTCGCCGCTACCCGTGTAAAGCACAAACATTGCACATCAACTTATAGCATAGCATCAAGTCTCCTTCGTAAAATTACTGCTTAAAAACCAAATCCCACCCACCCCTCTCTTCCACATGGAGTCAAATAAAATGATAAACATGAGTGTTTCTCTTTAACCGTACATGGGTTTGTACACTGGGTATGATTTAAAATATGATGGTTGCTGCAGATCTTTAGTGAGGATGATGATAATGATGATTCAAAACAGCAATAGCACCGTGTGCGCTCGTAATGCTCCAGTACTGTCATCTCATACCTTTGCTTTCTTTTCCCTAAACATCCACATCTAATATTAATCATGCACAGGCCTAGATTTAGAAGGGGGAGGAACTTTAGAAAATGTCTGAACTGAAAAAGACAACTTCTCATCTGTGCTACGTTCCACATACAGGCTTCTTGTCAATGTTTAATGTGTTTGTAATTTAAATGTATGTAGACATATTTTCTTTGGAATTTAAGTCATAAATGTAGAGGCAGGGCCGTAGTAAGGATTTTAGAAATACTGTGGTCAAAAGTACAAAGTCCCCCAATGCAACCCCACCCCCCTAACAAAGTATCAACTAGCCAAACGGTCCACATTTTCTTTATCAATTTAACTGTAAAATACATTTAAATAGATTTTGACTTTAAAATATCAGAATCTTGCTTTAAAACTTCATGTGTAATCTGTGTCATATTGTTTAATGTAAACTCTTAGGTTATTCAAAACCCTCCAATTCGTAGTATGTGGTCAATTGTAGCTACAGCCTTGTTTAGGGGTCCAAAAAATGTATCACAATTTAGCTGAAAAAGGAAATGTTTTACTTTGATTATACATTTACAGTTTCAGGATTTGTTGAAAGGATTTCTAAAATGTTTTGCAGATTTATATAATCTCAATATTTTATGCTATACAACAGCATCTTTGCATTGATTCTGCTCTTTTCTGCCAAAGTTCGGGCTTCTTTATAAAAGTGCTCATTTCATGTTAAACTATCTTTACATTTCTATCTATACTATCTCTCCATTCCCTGCCTCATCGTTTCTATCTTATATACTCCCATTTGGTATCATTTGCCACTTTTAACATAACACTGTATATCTTAGCTGGTTTATGTCCACTTGGTGAAGTTAATATATGGCTATAATCTCCTTTAGTACCATCTAAATGATGAGGAGCCTTACATACAGTGTGCTCACAGATTTTCAGTTCTCCTCAGAAAAAATGAGGGTAAATATAATTTAGACTGTGACATTCTTTGTACTAAAAAATTGCATTATTTCGACTATTATGGCTATATTAGCTTTGTTCAAACATAAAGAATACTGTAAATGCAGGGTAAGATCTGCCTCGTCACTGCATGTCACTTTAAACACTCCCTCTGTTTCTTTTGTAAAATGTTATCTGTAATATTTTCTCTTCTGTGTTACTATGAAAAAAGATGATCCAGATGATACTGAAATGTGAGCATCCTTCAAAATGTCAAGGAGTTTCAGAAACAGTCTGACCGTCCTTCATTATAAAAGCAGTGAAACTAAAATGAGGAAAACTGATGTCAGAACAATGTCGAGCAAAGAATCCCTCCCACAGTACTTGCATAAATCTCTTCATTAAATCATCTGCTATGTACAGTAATACATTTAATCGTTACATATACGGCTCATCTGAGCCTGCCAAGTCTCTTGAACAGTACTACACCATAGTCCCAATATTCATCCCTCTTCATCAGACCAAAAGTCAAAGTTCCTTATACAGTAGAATACAGTAGACACCTTTCAAGTAAAAGAACTGTTTTTCTAAGAATACTGGTGTGTTCACATAATTGCAACAGACCCGAGTCAAACCAGAATTGAAATCGGTTCAAATCCAAGTCATCATATGGTAAATGTTTTTATCTTAAGAGTCAAACAAACCCTGCAGCGGCTGCAAAGCTACAAAACAGAACTGCGTGAGTGGGATTTCAATCAGTTTGACCCAGGTCTACCGAATGGTTAGCAGACAGAAACTTCATAATCAGATGATGGACAGAACATTGTGACTAATTCTTGTTTTCATTTTTGAATCTGATGAAGGAAAAAGTAAATGAAGTAAATCTTTTTAAAAATACAGAAATGCCATCATAACCACAGACAACTAAGCCGCCGTTTTCTCTGTTTTGAAGAATGTAATATATATTTTTTTGCCTTGAAATAAGGTGAGTGAAAGGTAAACACTCACTACGTCTTTTTTCTACAGTAATCCATTGATAATAATCAATGCACAAAAGTAAAAGACAAAAGCACACAAATATCCAAAAACTCAAATTCAGACAGCTCAAGACAAGAGATTTTTTTTTTCTTTTTTCCTTAGATTTTTTTTCTCACTTAAGTTTAAAATACACATATTAACCAGCTGTAGAAGGTTTACATAGGAATTTGGATTCATCAAAAAAAGCACAGTTTTAAGTCAGTCCAGCTTTCCTGGCTTCATGGTGGACTTAAGAGGCAAGTCCAGGATGGTCCAGTCCAGTCCAGTCCAGTTCAGAGGAGGAGTAGACTACTGGCCATGGCTGGGGCACTACCGTACTGACGATGCAGTGCTGTGTGCCATCGTGTGCTGGGCAGATGGCAGTTACTGTACGATGATTGCTGGGGCAGAGAACTAGTTGGAGGGTCGCCCTTGTCACACTGTACTGTACTCACCCTGTTGTTACTACGCAGGGAGGCACAGTACAGCTTCACGCAGCTCAGCTCAGCTCAGTTCAGTTCAGCAGTGTGAGGGGCCCCTAGCTGTACAGTGGTGATCACCACAGAAGAGGCAGTCTACATAGAGATAGTGACGAGTGTGGGCCAGTGAGGCCAGGGGCTCAGGGAGCAGAGAGAATACAGAAAGAGAGAGAATTGTAAAGAGATTGAAGCAGAGCTCTGACCAGGTGAAGGGCCTTTTGGTGCAGAGGAGTTCTGGAGGATAAGAAATGCTTTGAGCTGCAGATGAGGCGGACTGAGGGAGAGGATAGACGGAGGCCAGGCCGGTGGAGAGGGGGGGAGCTGGGCATAAGGTGGGGGGCAGAGTGGGGTCCACTGGGGATGAACGAACAGACAGGAGGAAGGCCGGGCCGGAGTGCAGGTGAAGCTCCAGAGAGTTTTCAGTTAGAGAGAAGTCCTCTGCCCATCCAAAGAGACACCTGGAGAGAAACACAGTGAGCACATATGACTGACCTGCCATTACATTACATTACATTACATTACATTACATTACATTACAGATTCAGGTTCAATAAAGCTTGTTAGCTCAGAGAACTGTATTGTCCGTCTTCAATAACTTTTTATTGTATGAAATAGTGTGCAATGTTGAACAAAAGGTCAGCGGGGAGTAAACAGCACGGTAGAAATAAAACAGAGATTGACATGCGCTAGCCCGGCTAGGCTAGTGAGTTAACGGTCAGCTCGCCAGCAACAACAGTTCACCAGCTCGCCCTGTGAGTATTAGCCAGTTTTTCAGCCTCACCTATTTCGTGTGGACAAGCGAATGTCACTTTGTGCTGTGACTGACCCGTAATGATGTTTCAGATCTCATAATTAGGTGTAGAGGCTTTTTGATATCCTGCTGACCAGAAAATGTCAGCAGAATCACTAACACCTTTAACTTTCCTCTAAGAATCTTATGAAGACTTGTTTTTGTGGAATCTGAAGTCGATGTTAATCTTATCAATTATTTACTATTTGTTAGTTATTCCTCTTGATCTAATTTAAGGGGTATGTAAATATAGTTCAGTACTTTTATTACCACATGAGCTTTTCGGCCCTGCACAGGTTCAGTTTAAAATATTTTTTAAACTGACTTCAAAAGCATCAGTACAGCTAGAGAGCTGGCCTCCTCTGAGCACAGCTGCAGACATTAGATCCTGTCAGCCTTTCACCTAAAGGCTGCTCTACAATCAAAGCTCCAAAAGAGAGCTTGTTTTTGCTGCCTGGATGGAATAACTTGCCAAAGGCTTCTAGACCAGGAAAACAACAAATCGACAACGCAAACAGATCAAAGTAATTATGTTATGTAATGTGTAGTATGTTAGAAGAGTTACGTGATACAGGATTTTTGAAGGTACCCTGTGGAGTCTGCTAGTTTACATTCAGTTCTTCTTAATAAATCATTTCACTATTTTAAAATTTTATTTGAAAGCTTCCTTCCTAGCTTTATTTTTTTTCTCTCTCTCTGCCTTTTTCTCTGTTGGTTACCACAGTACCACCACCTGTAGATCAGTGGATGAGCGCCCGTGCGTCTTTGTGTGTGTGCATAAAAATCATAAATTTTAATTAATTCAAATTCTGCATATATTCTGTTATATATGTATAAATCTACACAGACTGTCGCATCTAACCATGGGACCGATTCCACTTTCTAGAAAGAATCAGGACACTCGAGTCACATGACTTCTTTTCCTCACAACCTAACAGCAGTGCTGATACGGTATGACCCACCAAGCTACTGGCTGTTTCCACTCAGTGTCACAGGCAGACCACTTCAGCAGATGGTTTCAAGATGACGTGAGTTCTGCAGGGAGAAGAGAGGAAAACATACTGTTAGAGGATGTCGCGGCTTGTCATGTATTAAACTACATTACAGAGAAGCTGTAAGTGTCTCACTGGTGTGTCGTTCCACTGCCGTGGAAGGTCTTCTGGCTCAGGTGGGTAGGACATCCAGGACGGGCTACGGTACGAGGACGGCGGTGACATGACAAAGTAGTCTGAGTAGCCGGGGCGGTTGGCTGATATAGCGTAGACTGCTGTTATTGGGTTTCCTATGAGTTGTAAAGATGGATTTAGCCAACTGAACTTCCCTTATCACTGCTACTGTGTGCATTTCACCACACACACTATTCTGTCATACCTGAGTAGGTGGTGATGGACTGGTCGACAGTGACAGCAGGGAAGGGGGTCCTGGACAGCGGCAGGTATGGGGCGCCGTTGTGCTGCTGGGCCTGCGGGTCTGAGGCCTCCGACACACGAGGCTTCAGACTAACATCAGGGGTGGAACTGTCGGTGCAGAGGAGGGACAGATGTTGACTGTTAAACGAGTGAGCATGCAATACAGCAGCACAAAACGAAATCTACAAGAGAGGAGGTCAGCTGGTGTGAATGAAAAAAATGAAAGCGAGGAGCGGATCTTTGTTTATGCCTAGGTTTCTGAATCGAAAAAATTTATATTTTTGTCACTTATACTACACTTGTAGATGCAAACACTGGAAACAAATTTAAATCCCCAAATAATGCGAATAGTTTATGTGTATGGTAGTTACAGTTCAGCTTGAAGCACTTAAAGTAGTTGAGGGTGAATTAGGGTTGAAGCACCGAGTCTGAAGTGTCGAAGTGTAATTGGTGGAATCATTAGTTTCGAGTTTAAGCCCTGAAGGCAGTTTGTCAGTTTGTATGGGGAGGTGACTTGTTAGAGATGAAAGTCTCCTATCAGTCGATGCCATGAAAGCAATTGAAATTTCAGTTAAAAGTGGAGGAGTCAGAGATAGTTGGAGTGTGTGTTAGTGAAGTCAGTTGGTGTGTAACCAGATTCAACTGCATAGCATTCAGTACTAATGCTCTGCACAGAAATACAGTATTACAGTATTAGATGACTGAATGAGAGAAAGAAGGGACACAGACGTACATTTGTTTTTTGTTTTCAGACAATAAATAGTTTAATTTGTATGAATGTGTAAAGGTCCAGTGTGTAGGATTTAGTGGCATTTAGCAGTGTAGTTGCAGATTGCAACTCCCTCACTTCGCCCTCCTGTTCCAAGCATGTAGGAGAAACTACGGTGGCCACAAAAAATGCAAAAAAAAAATGCAAACAGACCTATCTAGAATCTTGTTTGGTTTGTCTGTTATGGGCTGTTGTACATGGCAGTTCAAAATGGCAGCGTCTGTGGATGAGGCCGCAACAATTCATATTTTTTTAGGTGATTATAACAATTTAAATTTCTGCCTACTAAACGTTACAAACTGGACCTTTGAGGACAAAAATATAATCAAACATTAAACTCAAGGCAGGTTTGCATTCTACAAATAATTGAAAATCTCTGCAGGCATTTTGTATCCTGATTCCATAATATGATATATTTAGACTCCATAAACTTAAATATCCCTATTTTTAGGCCAACAAAAATAAACAAAGGATTCAGCATCTGCCCACTACAACTGTTTTCCTGGCAATCAGGGAGAAAGCCTTGCATTTGTAACTAGACGTTCATGTCATAAAGTCATAAATAAATACAATATAAAAAAATCCAAAGAATTAAAAAACAAAAGATTATCTTTTTGGTGTCGTCTTAAAATTTCAGGGCTTTTAGGGACACCAACTGCCCTAAACTGAACCGATCCTAATCCTAATCCTCTGTCCTCAGTCTGTGTTCCAGAGACATGTTATGTGTAGACCACAATGTCAACGTGACAGATTTCATCATTGTCCTTTTCCACCTCTTGTACTCTGCACTGTACAAATACTGACGGCTGTACATGTTACACTATGGTGGGAGACTGGAGGACAGATGATGTCATTGCCAGGGCTCAGGACCATAATGCACTGTGCACACTAATGCCTCACAGTGCATACTAAAGAGGAATTAAAATGCTGCCCTCTTCCTCCCTGAGGGTACAGAGGGGCTGATGTATGACGAGCTGACTGATTAACTACTAAAACATTTCTGTTTCTGGTTTTAGAGCATGAATAATGGTCACACACTTATGGTTTCACAATTACAGATGCAAAATTCAATTGGCAGTAATTTGAGAACAGTACAACCAACAGAGCTGTTTGTCATGTAAAATACAAACATTCAAAAATCCTTTATTAGACCTAATATATCTAAATGATATTATATATATAGTACTGAGTTTGTTTCTGTCAGTCTGCAGTACATCGCAACTGGATCGCGTTTACTTGTAGGAGATACATTCTTCATTTGTCCACTAGATGGCAAACATGTCCCTCCACATGATCCACAACAGCCCAACAGTCAATCACTCTCTGCAGTGCTAAAGTGCCCAGCAACACGGTGCACACAGCAACAGCATTTAAATGAAGAAGCTGCTTGGTTCAGATGATGCAGACTAACATATGGGCCTGAGAGAGAGAAGTGAGAGGCACAGAGAGAGAGAGTGGATGTGGAGGGCAGTCAGTTCAAACGATGCTGATTAATATTCTCTAGCTTTTTTCCACTCTGTATTCTCCTGCGTGTTTTCCACTAGAAATGTATATATCTATCTGATACAGTAATTAGCCCCAGAGCTGTATATTGATTGACTGAGAAGTCATCCAGGAATGCTTTTAAATGCCATATTTCACCATTTCCTTTACATTTGATGTGTGAACATAATTATGGGCCAACACAGTGGATGTTTTGCTGTCTGACGTAGAACACCAACTTCAGTCTGTTTTTCAGAGAATCTATTCTGATTTTTTCTTTTTTACTGTAGTTTCTAATTCAAGCGTCTGCAGTTATTTATATTTGTGTGTTTTACCGTCGTAGTGAGGTCCCAGGTGGCGGTCCTGGTCTTGAGGGGATCAGTGGCGGGGGAGACCCGATGCCCATATCAGGAAGCTGGGTGAACCGGAAACCCTGCAGAAGCCACAATTTTATTTATATTAGAAATATATTTAACTAGCAGTTACAGCATGAGTACAAAATACGCAATACGACCTTAAGCCTAAGTACAAAGTGGAGGGAACAATGAACCAATCCAGACAGATAAAGAGCGCTTGAGAATCAGATGGTTTTCAGATACAGATTCAAGCTGTGCAGGGCAATTTTATTTGTCTGTGGGTGTTCAATCCTCAGTCGCTTTAATCTCTGCAAAGCTTCTCCCTTGCTGATCAGCTGTTGGCAATGCACACAGTGACAGCACTAACTGCAGATTTTCTGGATGTCCAACCTCTCTGTGTGTGTGATCTAGTGAGTGCTGTAAAAATGTCATTTTTATGAAATGTTGTGAATTTGCTGAAAATTGAGCTCGCATGACCCTATCTACATATAATTCAGTGTTTGCAGAAAATGATGTAAAACCTGAATATACATGAGAAAATAAATTTGCATGACCTTGACAGGCTCAAAGAGGCTTTTTTTCTTGCCCGCACTATAAGGGCAACTTTCATCATGTTCTGCATGGTTTTTACCAGCATAGCATTATGGCAGCAGTTAAAAATTAGCCTGACATGAAAATGCTACTTATTTATTGGCCATTCTAAACTCATAATGAGTACTTTTATTTTGATATTTCAAAGCTGCTTTGCTTTGATACTTTAATATATTTTATATAAACAATGGATTAAATAAGAAATTATTGTGAAAGGTGTTGGTGAGAGGTGAACCTATAGAGAATCATTTCTCAGTTCCCCTCACAGCTTTTAGCTTGTGGTTTTCATACTGATTTGGTTTAGTCTTACCGCTCTCATCAAACTTGTTTTCAGCAGCTGTAAGCAGATGTTTTTCTCTAATAAACCCACTGTACAACACCTGCCAAGCACCAAATGGCAAAGTAAGTAACTGGATCTGGTGAATATAGTGGACCATTTAGCTGCTAAAGAGGCAAATAAATCTATAGGCAACTATAACACTTTAGCCACACAGACTGTCTACAGTCTAAACAACTTTATATTGATAATATTTTCAGTGGAGTGTTTACAGCTTGATGGCTGCCCTGAAGTGTCCAAAAAATCAGTTAATGCCAATTTAAGTACATTTTGCTGCTAATATTTTCATACTATTGAATGTTAGACTTTTACATGAATGGTATATTTTTACATTGTCGTCTGCTTTTAGTTCCCCATCCTATATCTATTCTCTCCATAGACATTGCTGTGAATGGTTTTTATTGGAACTATTTCCTACTAAAGAAAAGGTAGGCTACCTATTAAAAACAGCTTGTTGACAGTCATATAGTGTTATAAAAAGACCCTTAAACTTTCTCCTTGTGCTTACTGGTTTGGGCAGGCTGCACTGGTGCATGTCCTCGTAGCCTGTGCTCCTCTGCCTCCCTCCACAGGGATGGTTCATGGTCCCAGGGGCGCTGGTCACCCCGTCACTGTAGTGACTGGTGTGGGAGGGGTTGTAGGCTCTGTGGGCATGGTGGTGGTGATGGTGGTGGCTGCTGATGAGGGAGAGGAACATTAATAAAAAAGAAAAAGTTGAGTCAACAGACACACGCCTACTCTCCTCAGTTTCCCTGTTTTTTTCTCCAGTGTACAGTACATAATAAAGCAGACAAGTTGAGAAAAATCTACTCCACTTTGTGAAAAAACAGCTTGGAGTGGGATGTACGCTCTTAAACACTGTAATCAAATCGTGTATCAGCGCCGCTCTTTTCTTTCCTACACAATACCGTAAATAATGCAGATGTGCTAAGAAATAAATAATATGTGAAAAACATAAGTTTACTTGGTTGGCGGAGAAGGGGGGTCATGGTCCGGAGGTGCCAGGCTGAAGGCGTTGCCTAGCAACATATGCATCTGCGTGCGGACCTCGTCAATGGATGGCTGAGAGCTGAGTGTGGAGGAGTCGGAGCCTCGGTGAGCTTTCACCCCCAAGCTGCCGTTCCCGGTGCCAGTAGATCCACCTCCGTAACCCAGAGAGCTCATGAGACGGTCCACATTAGTCTCCTCAAACGGTTCCGGTTCGCCCTGCAGAGCACACTCATTCAGTCAGAAGGACAGGGGTGCATTTGTCAACTTGTCAAGTTTTTACCATTTATTCACCACACACACACCACCACTTCTCACTTCCACACACTCTGGGGCATTCCTGCTTGGAATTGACTTCCCTATAAGAAACATGTAATACACACGTAAGTGGAGGCCTTGGTAATAGCTGAAATAGGTAATAGGTACCCAGTGCGAGGGTGCACGAGTTAAAGATAAAGTCACCATGTGTGCAAGAGTAAAAGGGGGAAATATGTATGCAAGTATGTCTCCAGTGTGGAGGTCGTTCAAAGTTTCTGAAATAGATAGCAAAGTTGCTGTTTGCATTGATTGCTCAGTGTCTCTCATTTCTTCAACACTACAAATTTAATTTTAAGAGCTGACAGCAGCCTCTTCTCCAGTCCTTACACAAAGCCAGAAATATGACTGCGACCACTCCAGGGCCAAAGGCATTTATCCAAAACTCATGGAGTGCAAGGCTGTGGACAACCAGCTGTTTTCATTAGTAGAAGATGTTGCGATTTGAGGGACTACTTTGAGCCACACACTACATGATGCCCAGTCGCATTCAAGTGTGGCCTTGCCTGATTTGCAAGCGGCCATCCAATTTTTGAAATAATTTATTCAGGTAATATTTTAATTAAAGCTGCAAGCAGTGACGATCGGGCCCTCGCAATACGTGCACATCGGGGCATGCTGCAGTCGCAACATGCCACACAAGGCTTACTTCCTGTTTGAAGGTAGGTGGCGCTATGAGTATGACTGAATATTGGCATTTAGATGTGTTATCAAACATATGAAGACTGGATAATGTACACAGAAGTTATGACAACTTCCTGTTTTATGGTGAAACATCAAAATTCAGCACCAGGTACACGCCACCCTACAAAAACTCTTTTCATCGTGATGGTCTTTAGAGTAGACTGACCAAATTTGGAGTTGATCTGATCAATTCCTTAGGAGAAAATCCAAAGTGGCCGACTTCCTGTTGGGTTTGAGATATTTTTTGTTGTCTCAACATGATCTACCATGATCTACCAAGCATATCAGTAAAACGTGCTGCAGGGGCTGCAGATTAAGGGGGACCTCAGGGGCCACAGTCATATGCAGGACCCAAAGGATCAGTGCATTTTGCGGCCGCTAAAAATATTAATTAGAATATGTTCTAAATTTGATGGATGTTACATTATATGGGAAATGTATGCAAAAGTCACATATACATTTTTTTAATTTAATGTTAAATTAATTGGTTTACATCAGACATGTTTAATAAAAAATGAAGTAACTTAATTAATTTGGACAACAGAAATCTGATCATACCACCACAATAGAATTCCACTAAAACTTGATAAACGATAATATTATCCAAAATTAATACCCAGCCCTAACACATTCACAGTACAAAGCAGCACACCCACCCACACACACACAAACATGAAGCAGGCAAACCAGCTTTAGCCCCAAACCAACATAAATACAGAGCATACTGTAGTATTGTATTGTAGTGTTTCACATAGCAACAATTCAAATGCATAGAAACCTGATAAGGTATAAACCTACTGTATGAATACACACAAACATACATGCTCCTGCACGGACACACTCAGTTCTCCTTGTGCAGTTTCAAATAGTTTGGTGCATCCAAGGCTATTAACCGCTATCGAGCCTCCCATCTGAATCCATGAATAGGCTATAATCATATTCAGAGTCATTGACATTCAGCTAGGTAACACGGTCGCTGCTGTTACTGTGGTGCAGCAGAGAAGCAGCATAAAGATATTTCACTCACACTCTATCTGTCCCCGTTTTATCTCCTTCTCACTCACTCTTTCTTCCTTTCTCCATCTTTTTCTGGCGTTAAAATGAAGGAATCACTTTTTCTCTAATCTTTTTGTCATTTCCTCCCTTTGCGTCTTATTTCCTTTGTCCTTATCTTTCTGTTCGGCGCAGGTTTATAAAGTTCATCAAAAGGTAAATTGTTAATCCTCTAGGTGTGAGCACGGAGCATCAGAATCAGAGTAAAGGTGGGAGAGGAAGGATTAAAGTAATAAATGCTCCCCGAAGATTATTTTATTAGTTTGACAAAGCGGCAGAGCTTTACTTTGCCACAACTGTCATGTGACCGATTTAGAAGCAGAAGGATCCGTCTATGGATTTAGCATCACTCTGTATGACTCACCTGGTCAGAGGTTGGACCTGAGCTGCTATATTATGGTTTGTTACAGGATCCAACTTCAAAATTCTTCAAAGCTTTGCATGGTCTTGCCGCTGGGTATTTTTCTGAACATCTCCGACAGTAAATCGCTCACATCCTCTACTCACTCTGGATTGGTTGTGGTTAAAGTGTAAGGGTTATAGAGGTCTTTGCTTCAAATCGCTATCATTTTTAAAACTCTTCTTGAAACTCATTTTTATTCACTGAATGTGACAAGTTCCCTTCAGTACACTACCGACCTAACCCTGGTTCAGTGGTTTAAAAGAACGTTGACTCTGCCTTCATTAGAAGGTCCAAGACTTGTTCAGTTACTCACATCGTAGCCGTTGTTTCGGATGCCCCTCCTGGATCTTTCTCTCAGCACCAGCAGGTCCATCTCCGTCTCTACTGGGCTCGGGCTGCTCAGAGACTGCCGGCTCCAATAGGTGGGCTCCCGTGGGTGGGAGTACCTGATGGACAGGAGTAAGAAGAAATAATACAGTTCAGGGCTGTACTGTCGCTACTTCTAATGACACTCACACATCATATCTTTGGGAGGATTTGGGGGGTTTATATGTAACACACATACTTTAGGTAGTTACACATGGTGGGTTTCAGTTAACTGATTCTATAAAATTCATAAAAAAAATAAATAAATGATCTTTTGTGTTGTAAAAAGAGAGAGGTGGGCTTGAATTGGGAGTAGATGGATGAAAGACCAGTATTAACACTATCCATTTTACAATTTAAGTTGATTAAATTCATTTTTAAACCTTAAAATCATGGGGAACATTTGTTTCTGTCTTGCCCATATACAAAACAACTGTGGAGCAAACTGTCAGGATTTATTACTCATCATATTTACTAGTGGTTGAACAAAATGGGTTTTCGATGGCCGATGCAAATATTTAGAGAGCAGGCCCACAGATGGCCAATATATAATGCCAATATTAAAACAAAGAAAAGTCAAGTATAATTCCATTATTCCATGCACATTACAATCTAACATACACGGTTATCTTAACCAGGAACATGTTGTTTAAGATGGAAGTTATATCAATTAGTGAAACAGAAAAATACATTGAGTTATGTTTCAGGTACTGGTATTTAAGGGAGAGCAGGGTACAGTATGTAAGTGATAATGCCCACAAAGTGTCCATTATCAGGAAATAATGGACGATGTGGGGACCAGAACTGTTCAATGTGCAACAAAGCATTTAATCAACAGTATAACTGAATATAGAACTAAATTACACTTGTAGGCCTTTTAATGTCTTTATTTAATTAGATATATTCAGATTTATTTATCTGATCCTAACCCCTACTGGATTGTTGATTACGTGCTGTATAGTTTATATAGTTATATTTAAAGGAAGTTCATGGAAAAAAATAAACAAATTCAAAAAGCAGGAATTCATTTAGTGTACATTCGGACTTCTCCATACAAACCCTGGGGCTGCTCAACGCTGTGGTGTTTCTGCACTTTGAATCCCAGACATCACCTGTCAATCAAACTACTACATGCAGTGCTGTGACATCCATGGATTTTCTGTCGCTCAAATTTAAGTTTTCAAATCAGTACCTTCCTTTGTCTAACAGCAAATATAAACGGATTCATGAAATGTGTCAAGGTTGAATGTGTTAAGTCAGTTAGTGACAAAGAGAAGCAAAACAGACACTTGTCTGTATGAACTGTAAAATATTAATGTGCGGACCAAAAATCCCCCCTCACTACTCACTCACTCCTTATGTGTTGCTTAGCAACTATGCTCTACAGCTACACATCTACTGTAGATGTATAATTCTTGGTGGAAAAGTGAGATTTATTTAGAATTTAATTATTACTGATTAAACCAAAAAATAAAATCATAAATTCAACTAAGTGTTTGATAAACGATTAATTCTGCTTAACAATACCAGCCAGCTGTAAAGCACTTCAGTTTAATCGTTTACTGCTCAGATAATGATGAAGAGGAAGAAAAATAGAATCATTTCATGTGCTTCAATGATAAAATAGGACTCAGCTTTGATGGTGTTTAAGACTGATCCTGTATTTCTGGGATTGTCAAACATTTTTAATTAACTGGCATAGCATTTGGTGAGATTTTGTCCCATAGCAGCCATCATTTTATATTTCTTTGGTTGATTCTTTTGATTTAAGACCAATGAAGGCTGTGATTGAAGGGACATTCATGCCAGACTGAATCCTTCCTGTGTTTCTGGTGTGTCTGGAACCCCTACAGAGTCCAAACTGCGTACCTCTTGTGACATCCTGCGAAGGAAGCCCTCTTCTCCTCAGCGGTCATCGGCTCCTTGACCCCGTTGTCGTGCCGGCTGTGCCTGGTGTCACGGTGACTGTAACCATGGCTGCCACTCTCAGACAGAGAGAACTCCCCGTACCCCTTCCTCCGGGCCTTCTGACGCAGTTTGTTCCTGTAGTGCTCGATGTCTGACTTCTGCTTCAACCCACCGTGGTTAGCCTGAAAACAATCCATTCAAGTACTGAATCATATTTTCCTGGCTCCAGATGCTTATAGGCAGCCAAATTTGGGCTGTTTTAACTTTTTGTGATGACACACGTGATGATACATTTTAAAAAAGTTTTTCATTCATTTCTTTCTGGTTCTGAGACGGATCAATGCGTTTTAACAAACATTCCCTACAGCTCGATAATCAGAGAACGTGTCACGCCCTAAACATGATATTTTCTGCTAATGTGCACCAATCAATTGCGGATGAGCTGGAAAACCGGAGAGCCCCTGAGGGGATTTTCTCGTGTTATGTTAATAGATTGAGGGATAATTTATCATCAGCCTGTGCATCGCTGTCTCAGCTGCAGAGAGGTGCAGAGAGGTTGAGGTGGAAAGAGAAAGAAGGGGAGAAAGAGAGTGAGAGGTGAGTGGGAAAAGAGTGACAGGAGGGGTGAGAGATTAGACGGGGGGAGTGTTTGTAGCAACAATAGCTAAATTCAGTATCGGCACAGTGTGCCCCAGAGGAGATGTTATGATAATACTGCAGTACAGGAAGGGCAGGATAACAGACGCCTGAAACTGAAGAATGTAACATAAAGCTGTGGTTCACAAGCTTTTGTTTCCAACAGCCCAGTCAGATGAACTATAAAGTAACCCTTCACTGACTGCACTGGATACTATTGAATACAAGTAGCTGTAGAGGAATGCAGAGGAGAGGAGCCTAACCTCTGCATATGGCTTCCACTTATTTGGCGGGAAACTTGTTTGGGCACTGGGAGAGTTGAGAACCCTGATTTAACCAGTAGTTAGATAAATGGTTAACCATTTCAAGCATTTATCCATTATTTTTAGCTTTTTAATCTTTAATTATCCATTACTTCTAGTCAAATATTTCAACCATTTCTTACTTTGTAGTTTGGTTTAAGTTTAGTTTTAACAAGTACCTCCTGGCAACTGCAGAAGTATCACCTGGGGTAAAAGTTAACCTGTTTGCGAAGCTCTGACACAAAGCATCCACAGTTCCAAACCATGAACCAAACAATATGATAAAAATACCTGCCACACTCCAGTACACAACTACCAAATGCCGCTGTACTATATGTATCTGTGTGACTCATGATGATGATGTTCTAGTTTTTGCCCTATACTGTCAACACTGCAGACTCAACTCACAGCTGAGTGCGATAAAGCCTTGAAGGTGTGTGTACATTATGTATACGTGTGTGAGTGCAGACTCACATCCCCGTTGACGACCACTGAGTCTTGGCTGTGCGATGAGGAGGAGGGGTAGGAATAGGTTGGCTGGGCCGTCATGGGTTTGATGGTGATGAGACGCAGAGAGCCTGAATGGTCTTCATACGGGTCTGGGAAGAAGAGGAGGACAAATAGGTTGGCAACAGTCAGACAGAGACAGTTCTTCCAGGAAGCTGCAATCAGACAAATGATTACAATTTCTACCTATTCCCACATTATTCACAGAGCAGTTCAATTCTTTCACTATAATGTCAAATTGTGGGAAAAGCTGGCAAATCTAGCCAATCACAGCAGTTATAGGCTTACTGTAAACTGATTTAATTTGACCTTTCATGTGTCCAAGAAGCTTTTTGGTCCTAGAATGAGTGCCTTAACTTTCTGTTTGAAATGCATTTAACCTTATGTATACTGCACTGCCTCTTGGTCACTCTGCTGTAGGGAAGCGCAGGAAATTTTGGGAAATATGCTTATTCACTTTATTCTTGAGAGTTAGATGAAAAAATTGATGCCACTCTTGTGTCTGTGCGATAAATATAAACCTAAAATCAGGAGATGATTAGCTTAGCTTAGCATAAAGACTGTAAACAGGGGTAAACAGTTAGCCTTGCTCTGTCCAAAGGTAACGAAATAAATTACACCTACTAGCCTGTAAATCTGTTACAATTTTTTCTCGTTTACCCTACCCTTGTGTCCAGTCTTTATGCCTAAACTGACTGTAGAGTATTGAGCCTCACATCAAACTGTCTGCAAGAAACTGAATAAGCTTATTTCCCAATATGTCAAAAAAGGAGTAGAGTGTGATTGCTTCTTCTGCTGCAGTTTATCTTCCTACGTTGTTTCCTTTTGTTTTACCAAATTTAATATGTAAGCTGTAGGCAGAATATAGATGATGTATTTAAGTTTTGCTGCAAATTGAGTTTTAAATTCAGCTTATTGATAGCTAGCTTGGCTGTTGGCTGCTGATTAGTAATACTTGCCGTGGGACAGAGCATTTTCTGTTTTTAAAATGTGCATAATATTCAACACATGAAAAGTCTGGCTCCTATTCTTAAATGAAAAATGAGAACTTTCGATGTGAGGTACTGAATAAAGTATTGTGAGTCAGGTATTGTATCAGCACTAGCTGCAAAAAATGTCAACACTACCAGGCCCTAGTAAATGATAAATGTGCTGAAAAGTTAGTAAACCATGTAGGAACCAAACTGTGTAAGAACCTAATAGGATTGCAAAGAGGGTATGTGTACAGTAGGGGTGTGTGTGTGTGTGTGTGTGTGTGTGTGTGTGTGTGTGTGTGTGTGTGTGTGTGTGTGTGTGTGTGTGTGTGTACACACCACATTCTTCATGCACAATTCTGAAAGTCTGCTTTTCTTCCAGGTGCTATGTCTTTCTATGCTTACATTGGCCTTGCTATACTGCCACACACTCCAAAATAATGACATTTGTCTAATTTGTCTCTGATGTAAGGTTGTCATGACAACATGGCTACAAATTTAGATTACAGCAATACACCACAAAGTGTGTTTAGGTCTGGTTTTATAGTGTTTGCCTTGATGAGGAAACAGCAGCTGTATGGCATGTCATCTGTTTCTTACAGTATACGAGGCTCTTTGTATCTATGTGTGTTTTTTTGCGGGGAGCAGCAGATGGACAGTGTTGTGTTGTACTGGGTCCACTGTGACTCACTGCCTGACTGACATCGTATGGCAGACTGATTCGTTGTAGGGCTACAACAGTCTGCCATTAACTGAGCTCCAGACCTACATTGCCACCATTCATCCTGGCTGCAGCTCAGCCTGCTTTATTTGCTGCTGTTCCTGAACCGCCCATCAGACTGTGACAGTTAAGGTCAGGACAGGTGGCGTCACGGGGAGCAGAGGCTGTGAACCACATTGGAAACCACAACACTGCATGTAAATAATGTGCACTCTGAACCAGAAGATCATTTCTACTACGGTCACAACAGATGCTGAACACTGACCTGTTGTTTTAATCAAACAGATAAAGTGTTTTCCTGAGATGGCTGAGTGGTGTTGGAATAGAGCACATTGATAGTGTAGCTTCATTTGGTTACTATGAAATATATTTTCATTTATTGTTTTTATTTACTGGAATAAAATAACTTCATTTTGCCACAACTGTGACTAAGGGCAATTTACGAGTGTTTTCTGTACATGGGAAGACAAACATTGTGGCTCAACTGACAATCTGCTTGTTGACAGGTACATTGTAGTTATTTTAATTGCTTTATGTCTACACTGATCTACTTATTGTAGAGTATGGAGATGAGTTTTTTATCCACACTTGCAGCATGGCAGTAGTGACAGGAAAATAAAGTATGTTAAAAACCTAAGTATAGGACAACAAAAATACAGAAAGTGTCATTAACATTTAGCTGTACAGAAAAAGGCCAAGCATTGACCTGAGGATAAAGATTGATTTGTTGGTCAATTTTATCTATATCAGGACCTTTGTTGTTCCTTTTCTCTCGCCACCTCATCTCATGTCTCTGCACGGCTAAATGTTTAAGGACAATTGTTCTAAATGTCATGTAATGTAAAATCTAGCTATAATGAAAACTTGTTATTCAGCTGTAACCTCTACACTGAATTGACTTGTTTACAGGCTTGTGTAGAGAAGGTGAGTAATAGACCATAATCTGTCTGATAAAGAGACTCCCACCACACTACAGCAGTGTGATGATCTTAAATACTACATGACAGCAACCAACAGTGTCCATACTTTCTGATTCGCTGATTTTCCTGCAGCGTCTGTGAGCGACTAATGAGATAACTCACCATCGTCTGCTGTCATCAATACACAAACTACATTGATCATGAATAATCTTACAAAAAGAGACCTGCAGAAACAAAAGGACCATCAGCGAGAAGCTTCCCTATCTCTATACAGGGATTCTGCCGTCGGGATAGATGTGGTCGGATTGACTCAGAGCCAGGAGGCAGAGAGCTTTACATCAGGACACTGGTTGCCAAGAACCAAGTTCCACAACTTGTGTACAGATTAAACAAAGGAGATACAGAGTAGCTGGTTGGTGTATTTATGAACTCTGGAGAGAGCCTGCGAGCTGTTTCCAACTGCTTCCAGTCTTCACGCTAAGCTAAGCTAACCTCCATAATTAGTGTACAGACATGAGAGTGGTATCATTTTCTTGAGCAGAGCTCCAGTGTGCTGCTGTTTTTCTGCCATCTCTCTTTTTTTTTAAACTGTACTTCTGTCCATCTCTCTGTGAGCAGTAGTGAGAAAATGAAACAATTACTCATCCTCTCCTCCACTCCTTCGGGTATTCATTCATTCGCCTGCATAAACACTATAAATCACACAAATTACTGGGAACATTGGTTTGCTGATGCAAAAGAGATTGAACATCGCAGAGTCCTAGAATGTCACTGAACAGAAACAACATTACAGCGTTATCAGTGATCAGAGCAATGTTGACGCAACCAATTCTGCAGAGCTTCTGCCTGGTCATATCAAAGATACACTACATTTACCACTGATAACAGGTACTGCAGATAAAAGCGTAGTGTAGTGTAGTTTATAACCCTGTGTCTGATCAGAAATCTATATATCAAAATATGAACAGGATTATAATGTGTATTTACAGAAGACTGGAGAGGGAGCTGTGTAGATGGATAATACTCCAACCAACAGCAATAGCACTTATTCATTATTATTATTATTATTTATCATCAATATTTTTTTTATCAACTTATCAAACCTTAGCTTACCTTAATGTTAGCTGATTTCTTTTCATACATTTCCTTTCAGCGTGCCTTGGTATTTTGTGGTTATGACTTATTGAACACAAAGCAACAGAGTCTGACCTCTCCTGTTGTTTGGTCTATGATATGACCTTGGATCCAAAGAGCAGCTGCTTTTGTGAAGTAGCACTCCTCTATCTGTTTGGCATTTGCTCCTTCTTTAGCTGATTTCTTGTTGGCAGGACAGAAGGGGAAAGAAGAAAAGACTATTTGGGAAGAAGTTCTCACTGGCGTATGGTTGTAACTTGGGGAAACTGCCGTCAAGGAGCACATGACCACACCTATTCTCAAACAAATCAAAGGTGTTGGCGGCAATTCAGACTGAATCTGGAACTGCGCTACATTTTTGAAGCTACGTCAAAATAAAAACCAGGCAACACAGAATGCTCTGTGCTTTGTAGGAAATTATTGGATTTGAGCTTAGGTGGCATATTGATCGTGTAACTAATGAATTAAGTAGTGGTTAATAAACTGTCTACTAAAGCTTTCTCATGACCTACTATTAATGACTAACATTCTGTCTTCCTGACGGAGGACAAAGACCAGCTAAAACACACAACCTAGCAACCAAATTTTGCTCTGATCAATAATCAGTAATACGCATCAGTTGTTGATGGATGGAACATAATAATAATAATAATAATACAATAATACAGCTAGTAGTTACAGCTTATATGCCCTTTATAAAGGGTGTCTTATTAAACAAAGTGATACGCCTGACTGACTACATGTATCATTTTCACTGTACTGTCGAACTACTGCTAAATAGTGTCATAGAGCATATATTTGTATGTTTTGTGTTTAAGTTGGTCAGCATGGAAAATGTGTTTCTGTATCTCTGGCTAGATTGACATAATTGCTAATGGACCTCATTAAAAACGATGGGGAAAAAGTAATCCCTTTACTTAAAATTACAGTGCTAATTAGTTTTTAATAGCTACACTGTGTATCAGTGTCTTTTCTCCCAGGATGAGGATCTTGTCACAGATTTAACAGTGAGTCATTGTTCCAATGCACAAACCATATGCTGTGAGTTGTATGGATTTGAAAAACACCTAATGTGACAGTGTGCTGTCAAAACTCTTTCCACCCACGTTCCCGTCTTCCTGTGTGATTCCACTCAAAAGTAACTTGATGCAGTGCTTAAGGCGCATGCACTGCCGACCGCTGGCTTTTATCTCTATAAAGCCTTTTCAGCTTTGCGTCCTGGAACGAGGTAAACTAACTGAAGACACCTGAAATACGACTCTTTTGATTGAGAGCAGCTTGTCTGCTGTTTGTGTGTATGAGAGGGATGAGGAATAAAAAGACACGTGAGTGTATGTGGTATGAGTGTGTGTCATCACTGACAGTTACATGACGCAGCAGCAGTCTGTGTGTGTGTGTGTGTGTTTGGGCAACACAAGTAGTGTAATAAATGTGTTTGTATGAGTAAGGATAGTGTGTTTTTTGGTCATCAACACTTATTTATTACCAGTGACAGACTTTATAGTGGGCACAAACATAAGGAGAGACAGATTTTCTCTCTTTTTATCTATCTATCCATCAGTATCAGTATCTAAATATTTGTTCTTCACTTAATCCTTTCTATTGTCTCCCTCACTTACTCCTATTCTGTATCTTCCTGTCTCTCTTTCTTTCTCTCAACCCCCCATCCATATTTCCTCCTCCTCCTCCACCTCCTCCTCACCATTGGTGTTCCTCTTGTGCAGCTCCTCTTTGCCATTCTTGCTGCTGCTGCCAGTCGCCGTCCTTCGGGCCGAGGAGCTCTTGCTAGTGTTCAGCTTCCCGGAGCCGTTACTCGACATCGAGCCGTCCTCCTCGCTTGGCAACCGCCTGTAGTATCCATGGCAACAGAGAGAGGCAAGGGAGTGAGGAAAAAGGGAGGGGAGGGCTTGTGAGTCTCAAGTGTGTTCACAAACAGGGTATCACCTCAAACTCAATACTGGCAACACGCTATGTATCAACTTTAAATCTAAGTTAAAAAAGGAACATTAATGGGGCATCCAACAATAACTGCAACCCAAAAATGATTAAGAGTGGTGTGGCTCTGCTGTCAGATCCTGCTATAATCTTAAGGAATCCACCACAGAACTCTGATGCTATCAATGTTATTAGCATTCAGGCAGTCGTATTCCATAAAAGGAGTTAAGGTTAACAGTTAAGAACTCCACAGCACTCTGAAGTAATTGCCATTTGTTGTGAGCAAATACTGGCAAGCGTTGTTTTGTGTCTCGTTGTGGTCATTTTGTGTGTCTATTTTGTCATTTGATGAAGACATGTTAACAGTCAATTCATGCAGAGGTTCTAGTCCCGGGGCCCTGGGCCTCTACTGGTAGGCCTGTTCAATAATCCATCCATGATACTAATAAGACAACTATCTATCACCTTCTGACTCTGGTAGGGGGGAACCAGGGTTGTCAATCAGGCTCATGCCACCCCTGCAACTGCCCCTGGTCGATTGTGGCTCAGAAATGCTAATGTTACGTGGCCACCAGGCAGACCATACAACTCCTGTTCTGTTACTCTTTGCCAGATTTTATAATAATAATAATTTTGGGTTGCAGTTATTGTGAGATGGTTTGCGATTCCACATTTCTTTGTGTTTTTATTAACGGAATTTATCCCATAAAAACATCCTATATTAAAGCATAGAAAATGTTGAAATGTAACACAAATGTAAAGGACAAGTAGAACAGCAACAATCCTGATTTTGTTGGGCAGGTTGTTCAACAGCCAAGGGCCTTGATGGAAACAGCTCAGTGTCCCTTACACACACACACACACACACACACACACACACACACACACACACACACACACGTGACTCTAGAAGAGTCTCATGCAACAACATATATGAAGACATAAACAGTGCTTATTCTCTTTCTTCTTACCTCACACACACCAGGCATGTAAACCACATACAGGACACACACACTGACACACACACACACACACACACACACACACACACACACTCACAGCCTCGAGGCATGTAGGCTGCAGCAGCTACACAATGTGACAGGCCCGTCTACAGGTGGTGTGAGATGCACAGATCAGCAAGACTGGACATTACAGAGCCACAGGCGAGGCTAACACCCTGTCTATGTGAACACACACACACAAACATTCACACACGCAGTGCAGTCTGAGCAGCGGTCAATGGCAGGCCGAGTCATCGTAAAAGTCGTGGTATAAACAAAGAGCCTGAGGGCTGGAGGAAGGAATACAATGTGTGTTCCATGTAAATCTGTGTGGGAAGGCCATAGAGAGGAGCAACAGAATCAATAATCACACAGCTGGAAAGCAAAGTTCGACTCCCGTAGCTCCACGGAGCGTTCAGTCTGCACCTTTCTCCTTCCTCAGACAAGTGAGCAATCTGCAGCTGGAATTATTGCTGCTGTTTAACGGTTTCACTTGTTTTAGGTTGTTTTTAGAGAATGTCCTGAGTCTTGCATCTTGACTCAGAAAGTGCAGATCTCATCACCTATTGTGTCGAGACAATGGTACAGGCTTCAGAATAAGATGATTTATATCGACTGCAATTATTTTGCTGTTTTTGTCTTGTTTGAAGAGAAAATATGAGGCTAAATTAGAAAACTTGTGACAAAGACAAATTATCAGTAATAGTAAGTATTTTTAGTAATCAAAAAATATTATTATGTCACAATATCTATAGATACTGAAACATTATATTGAAAGGGTTTTTTAACAATAGTTGCATTAGAGGGTATGTAAAATATTTTTCTTTTAACTTCTTGTACTGTTTTTGAGTTACTGTGCGAAGTTGTGAATTTACATACCAACATGTTTGAATTAAAACATGTGAATGCACATACCATGTCACAGTAGATGTGTATTTCAGTCTGTGAACTAAAATTTTGTAAACTCTGTAGGAAATTAAAATGTAGTTAAGCAGTACTGATGTACTGCAAAGATATCAATTAATTGGATGATTTGAACTTAATGAATAATATTTAGGTTCAGTGTACTGTTAATGGTTGTCTAAGTGTGTATTCATATTTATAGCAAAAGGTTGTTGTAATTATAGACGTTTTCACTGAAGACATTTTGACATGTCACAGTAGGAAAAGCTCTGGTGTAAAAAATGAAATAAATGATGGCTGGATTCCATTTAGCTGCTTTAGTTTCAGGGTCATGGTATTGTTCAGGTTGGCTCATGGCTTACTGGGACACGGGAATAAATCTCTATGTTTTGTGTAGATGAGTGATCTGAGAGGATTGGGGCTCCTTAGCTGCTGTATATAAATCCCCATAATATAACATTTGTAGTTTAAATCTCGATTTTGTGATTCAGCCATTTTTTTCATTGTTTTAAAACGTAAAATCAAATGAATTGAGATTTATCACCCAGGTCCAGTGGGAGCTCTATAGTGCATTTCATAATAGGGAGTGATTTTGATTACAGCCCATGTCTTTGTCATTGATTGATTCTGACGACGTAGCATAAGATTTTTTATTATTCTCCCTGCTTCTTCATAGTATGCGTATCATATATTTTTTAGATTACAGTATACATTTTGTTTAAAGTGGTATACTGGAAGTGAATTAAATAAACAGTAAATTGATAGTTTTAGCCATGTGAGCAATGTGGCTGTACAGAGAGAGCAAATGAAATGTCTTAAGAACAAACAAACGTGGTGCAGACATTCAGGTTCCCCAAGCTGATGAATTGTAATAATTTTAGAGATCCCTTAACCTTTCCTCTAGCAGCATTGTCAGGTGAGCATGTTAGTATGCTGATACAAGCATTTTACTGTTCCTCAGAGCAGCCGTATATAAAGGGATAATGAGTGAATGAGGGAGTGATTTCAGACACAGCTTTAGTTTTTCAAGCTTTAGTTTATTTTTTGTTTTTTAAGTCATCCATCTTTGCTGCCAAGAGCTCTTTTATTATCTTTTTTTTTTCTTCTGATTTAGCACAGCAGGCTTGTTTGTGTCTGTGCATTTGAAGAGAGAAAACACTTCAGAAGTCTTGTTCTCTGTTCAGTTACCACTATTTAGTCCAAGAATAATTGGATCCTTTGTTGTTGTTTTGGTGTGAAATTTCCCCTCTCATCCCATTGCACTCCATACTGCAATAGTTAGCGGATGAGCTACTGCCTCGTTTTGTAATTAGTGTACACCCAGGTGGTAGAATAACCTATGATACCTTATTTGAAAAATGGCTCCCCATAAGATATATGTGTGTGTATATCCAGGTTGGTAAAGCTGATTAGCACACTATGCCAGCTCTTCCAGCATTTTACACTGTCATCATTGTTACACTGAATGGCTCTCTCTGGCATGGCAATAGTCAGGGTTATAAATATACATGTGTTTATCATCTTCGAGAAGCAAAGCACAACTAATCCCACCTTCATTCATGTTCCTTCAGTGGTGTGTAAACATGAGGCAATGTCTTGTGTGTGTGTGTGTGTGTGTGTGTGTGTGTGTGTGTGTGTGTGTGTGTTTCTGAATTAGCATTTCTGTGAGAGGAGGCATGATGCATCTCATTTATGACTTCCTTATGGAAAGATGTCACCACTGAATGTGGGTAGGTGTGTGGGTATATCTTGTTGTAGGGAACTGTCTGGGGATGGAAAAGTTTAAAGATTTTGTTTTCATCATTCTGTTGTAAATGTTTTCTATGTTCATGCACAGAGTAGATTATAACTCATAATCCTAGTGAAGTCTATGGGAAATAAGACTGTTTTGCACATTCCGGTAAATACATTTAAAACTGTGTGATTCCGACAGATGTTTACAAATCAAATTCATTGCTCATGCATAAAAAATAGAAGACAATAACAATGAAGATATAAGACAGAAAACAGTGTAACAGTACAAAAAGATGGATAAAATATATGGAAACACTAAAATGGAGACAAATAGCATAAAACATGAAGATTAGCAGCAGTCGAATGCACTGTAAATTTTGCATTACCCATCATCATCCCTCTCATATATTATTCCAGACACACAGTAAAGTATCCAGTAAACCTGTCTAATCCACTGCACTTACTCAATGGCTCTGAGGGCAAATGATCATCTGTTTAGCTGAAAGTTTAAGGATCTGATGCGCTTTTTTAAAGCTGAGAACAGAATTTTATAGCTGATAACAGATCAGTGTGCTGTAGAATTGTGTCATCCAATGGGCGCACATTTCTTAAAACAAAGACTGGTACACTTTCTAATACAGACCTCAAAACTACTCTGATATCCTTCACTTAACTTAAAAGTTAAGTAGCAAAAAGATTCTGAGCTCTAGTTTTAATAAGGTACCAACATTGGGTCAGAGGGACATCAAATTATTTTGCATACATCTTCTTGTAGATAATTATCTGCACACTACCTAATGGTTTAATGGATTTTTTCCTCCCTGAAAGTCAGGGATGCAGAATTTGGCAGCAAGAAAACATCTAATTCCATGTTATTCGCATATTTAAAAATGTGTGGGCTAGAGTAGAGGCTTGACATTCATTAGTGTGCAGGGTGTATAAAATCCAGTGCTGTTAATTTTTGCTAATGAGAGGACAGTTTTCTTTTTGACTGAAAATGACAAGAAAATCGTTCACCCAGAAATGTTATTTAACCACAGAATCACCAGGTGAATCTGGGATTGTACATTCTTGAATGAGCAGCTAAAACAATCTTGACACAGCTATGCTGGTGCATCTGGCTCTGCACAGGAAATGAGTGAAATAATTTATCATTCATAATTTATCATTTATACTCCTCTCATCATACATGTGTGAGTGCGGCTGGTATTAGAATAAATAAAGCATGATTTTTATTGAAACCCCAACTTCAAAAATAGAAATAAGTAAGCCTTAACTGAGAAAAAAAAAGTGTTTTTTCCTGATGCGGATGAGTTGAAACCAAGCGCAGCCAACACACAACTCGTAGTACATCACAGCTGCTGGCTGCAAAAACCAACATGGTGAAGGCCATAATGCCAATCTCTACAAAACAGTACTCTGCAATAGGAGACGTTACAATAGGTTCACACTGTGTGTTTATGTTGTTTCAGGCGATTGTAGCAATTTATGTTTGATGTCCTTGAGTTTTAATTTGACTGAGCTATGACTCTAAGAAGAATTGATGTTTTCACGCCTGAGTGACAGAAGCAAATACGACAATTACAGCAAAAATTCAGACGCTGTTTGTATCTGTTCAGCTATTCATATTTTAAACAATGCATTTATATTCAATTACATTCCTTTCATGTAAATCTTCTAGGGGCTGATACATATTGTTTACTATTACAAACAGTCAATTCTCCACCTCTACTGAGACAGACCATTACATGTCTCTCCAAAAATCTCAATAAATCTGAGCATTTATTTTGTCTGGACTGTTATTTTGGACATAATGAAGCAGTTCTTTGATAGCAGCTATCGTGGCTGAGGCTGTTTAAATGGACACTAACAGTTGCCGGAGACAGAGTAATATTTATAAATAGATGTGAGACACTCCAGTATCCAGCCTGTTTTCACATGAGATCATATAGCTAGCTCCATCAGATCCAGCAGATCTCTCACGAGGCCTTGGATCAATTAAACTGGTAATGTGCATCATCCACAGTAATAACCCCCTCACTCACAGCAGGATCTTGCATACAAAATTTGTTGTTAATTTCTGCCTATTTTTATCTAAAATCTCTAGTGTCAAAGCTGCAGTAAAATCTGTTCCTAATGGTGATTACATCCTGTTCATCAGTGAAGGAGAGACACAGTCATTTATATTTATATCCTGTTATAATTCGCAGCACCTTTTTGCTCAAAGGAAACCTTTCCAGCACACTAGGATGTATGTGTCAGACCATGGCTCAGATAGGTGCTAGGCTGTTAACAGCTCAAAATGACTGTGGCAAAATGCTCCTTGTGGCACCTTCAGTTTTTCCTTTGCTCTGGCAACATGACACAGCATCAGTGTATTGTCTCAGCACTGTTCAAATCTCCTTTTATTGTCTCCAAACAACTCCTCGTTAGCACTGGACTTATCTTAAGATCATGTCAATCTGTCAGAGTCTGCACTGCTTACTGCTGGCTTCTCTGTGGCTTAACACTGCAATGCACAAGCAAACACTGTTGTCTGGTCCTGCTGAAAAGCTTGGGGTTTTGTTGCTGGCTTGTTCACTGACTGAAACATCTGCTGGAGAACTTCGTGGTTCCCTTTCACAAAGCCACCAGCTGGGAACAGTATGTGTGATCAGCTCGTTATTTCAACTCTGTACCTGTGCAGAATCACAGGCTATGGAGATTATTTGACTGAGCAGACTTTGCCAAAACATCCACATGAATTATGTATTATGATGTCAGCAGTGTGGAAGTGATCTCTTCTATTTGCCCCAGTCTCTGCACCTGTCACAGTTAAAGACGGTTTGTTGTAATGTCCAAAAGCAAACTATAAACCCCAAATTTTCTCCTTGCCAAATGGTTGTTCTGAAACTCAAAACACTTCAGGGTTTGGCTTTAAATATGCAAAGTGGTGCTCTGTAATGATACCAAACCAAATTATGCCAAACAATATTTGGCTTTCAAAGCTGACACCCGTGAAAATCGTTCTGGTAAGTATTCGTATTATATACTAAATAGCTTTAAAGCTGGAAAAATGTATATTTTTATATGAATAATGGGTCAAATGGCTATGTCTAACATGAAAGGTGTCAGTCGTAGTGAGGAATTATCTGGTGTAGCCTAACTGCATTCATCAAGCCTGTTTCCATCAGCTATTCTCATTTTAAAAAGCTCTGAAACCTACTGTACACTATCTCTGTGTGTTGCCTCATGTCTGCTGGATGAACAGCTCAGTCGGTAGAGCTGGCGACCCATATACGGCCCAGGTTCGAATCCGACCTGCAGCCCTTTGCTGCATGTCATCCTCGCTCTCTACCCCCCTTTCCTGTTGAGTTTCAGCTGTCCCTATCTAATAAAGGCATGAAAAGGCCAAAAAAAAGATTATTTAAGCTAACAGACAAGCAAACAAATGAGTCAGTGACTGTCTTACCCTCCTTTGTGTATGTCAGCAGATGGAGGTCTCTTGCTGGCGGTCCCGTCCTGGTGGACCTTCTTATCCAATGACAGTGACAGTGGAGCATCTCGTACAGGCAGCCCCAGCACCAGTGTCTCCTTGGTAACGGAGATGGCCTCATCACCTGTTCGACCCATGTGCTTCTTGGCGTAGTCAAAGCCCTGGACAGGCTGGCAGGGAAAAAAAGACATGAGGAGTCAGAAAACCGTTAAGTTCAATTTGAAGGTCAAAGATATTGCAGCTTGTAGATCAATCCATTCAGGAAGATTTCAAATTGATTGGTTAAGAAAATGCTTCAGTGTTTGTATTCCTAGTGTACTGCAGAATGACTGAGAAAGGGTGTTTCTTATGTTTATAAAATGGGCTTTGTTTTTAGTTGGTTTAAGTTGCCTCTTGGATTGATGGATCAACAGCAACTTGATGCATTAAAACAAGCAGCGGTGTCCAGGACATAAAGCACATGCAACAATAGCAAAAAGGGAGCAAGATACAGTAGTATTCCATCAGTACAGTACAGTTTTACATCTTTACTACATTAAGAACCCACAATAATGAGCAATGAGTGATAAAGCAGCCACAAAATATGTAGCACATACACCATGATGAATGGTTCAAAGGAACCATCAAAGTATAGGAAACTGCAGCTAAAGTTGGTCAGAGAGTCTCAATGGTATGGAGTCACAAGATTAATCCAACAATCGAAGCACATGACAGCACACAGATGCACAAAGTGTGGATGTTATTTCCCAAGACATTTTGAGAAAAATGCTAAATTACAATTTCTCCAGAAAGTATTCATGTTTGTACCTTCAGATAAAAACAACCCAGATTAATCAGCCTAAATCACAAGCAGTGATGCGGTTTAAGACCCTGTGGATTCACAGTATTTGTCCCAACTCTGGTGTCAGCTCTGGTTGGTCACAAGAACCCTGAGAGTCAACGTAAACAACCACTAGCCGTCCAACGTCAGTGGCTTAATCTCAATTTACAATGGCAAAATGCAGCATTAGTGATAATAAACAGTAACCTGCTGCATGTAGTTAATAGTTGTCACACCTCAGGTTTCCTGTTCATTGTAGTGTTTTAATTGGGGTGCCCTGTTAGCTGTGCACCATGTACTAAAGCAACAGCCCAAGTTTCTTTGCAGCATGTCACCCCCTCTCTCTCCCGCCTTTCTCATATCTCACTTCAGCTGTCTCTGTCAAATAAAGGCAAAAAGCCAAAATTAAAAATAGTAGTTTTTAAACTGATGATGAGTTTTAAGATTTATTTTCCCCTAATTGTGAATAAATACTAGAAAGCTGCCATGAAGTTGAGATCCTGAAGCATAAATATCTAGAATCTAAGTTGGGGATGTGACTGTCTTGATTTGAATGGGTAACATAAACCACTCCACTCCAAAATAGTTGAAGTCCGATCTGATCAACAGCAAAGTCCTTCAAAGTGTAGCGGTTAGATTTTTAGCCCAGCTGAAGTGCTGGACAGCCCGACACGGCTGAACGGACGTCAGAGTTGCTTACAGCTAACATGACATGGTCTCCTGAATATTAAAGAAAAACCTCCAGATAAGTGTTGCTTCCGTTTCAGATAAAGGTAATTGGATGGACCTCCCCCCAAACCAGTTTTTATCTGTCTCCAAACACCACGGCTAGCATAATGAAAAAGTTGAAAAATAAATAAAAAAGGCTTAACAGCACCTTTGAAGTCAGGGGTTTTGGCATAAAGACACAAAGAGGAAAAGGCAGCAGAAGACGTGTTTTGCTAAGCCTCCAAGGCCTAGACACGTTCTTTGTTAAACTAAATGCCTTTCAATTTACGGAGCAGAGAACGAGTGAAAAAAAGGAGAGAAAGACCCTTTTTAGGTTACACAACAAAGCAAACGAAACCCTGATTTTTTTGCCTCCCTTTTTCTATTTTGAGCGGCTCTAAAATGGGACGCCTAATGAATTTGATGATGCATGCTAAATTCTGAGTGCATGTGAGGTTAGGCAGCGTGGGCATCCAGCTGACGGCATTGTTAATAATTCATCAGTCATATACACCGCTGTGCCATCAACTAGCTCCAACACACGTGGCTGTGGCCGTGGATGAGTGTCAGGATACTGATCCGAGCTCTTATGGAACACACACACATTAGAGAAAAAGACTGGGGCTAGGCCGTCTCACCGTGGCATGAATATATGGATTCAGTGTGCGTGTGTCTGCACACATCCTCTAACCGCTGAAGTGATGTATGGTGACAGTTGTGACTCTGTCGTGTGAAAGATGTATGGAGAGTGCAAACATTAATTTGCCTGTGGCCTCATGGTGTTCACAGGTTGAGGAGGAGTTTAGCTGTGTGTGAGTGTATTGGCGCGTGTGTGTGTGTGTGTGTGTGTGTTTATGATGAGCGAACAAAGGGCAGCAGACGAGGGAGGAGGGAGGTGGTGAATTAAATGTGCTGTTCCCTCCACCAATATCCATGTGTATGGATTAGCGAGGAGCAAACATTAGATGACGACCCGATGCACACTGCACATGGACAGTGAAAGATGTGTCACTCAGTGGCTGATGGGTAATGGCTGTCATGCACGGAGACTGTATGGATTCTCAGAAATGACAGAGCCGAGGGGTGTAACCTTGAAAAGTGCGCCTGACATTTCACGACTCGCATTTTACTGCACTGGCTCAAGGTCTTTCTCTTTCTGTCTGTTCTTTTCACAATCACATATCCGTCTTTCCTATTAGTCTCTGCCCCGTCTTCCTTTCTAATCCTCCTTCTCTTTTTCCTGTCTCCACCAACATCTTTCCTTCTCTTCCAGTGTCCACTGACAGCATGTTGACTTAACAAATGGCCATCTTTCATCTTGCGCAAGCAGCTCAGTTTAAGACTTTGGCTGTGGACAGGGCTTGTGGTATGGCGTGAGCCTCTGATCAGTCTGTCAGAGATAGATGGCAGTTTTCTCCACATCTATTTAGAACAGTGATGGAGGAAAAAGGCAGGAGAGAAAAGAGAGAACGGCGGCGACACAGGGTCCGACTGTTTCTTTTACTTAAAAGTGTCATATGAAGTGACTGTGAGCACGACCCTGCTGCACCACCAAATTATCCACTCTTATTTTCCTTGCCCGCACTATCAAACAGAAGCCTCTCCTCATGTCTAATTTTAACTCAGAGCAACAGCCAACAGCAGCTTGATGAGGTACAGCAGATGGATGAGATATGCTCTATTCCCCCTGCGGCCATATTGATTTAAATTCAGCTCTAGCAGGGCGAATGACGGAAGCGCACCGCAGAGCTGCATGAAAACAAAAACGTCCCAAAGAGTGGGTGAATTCAAGAAGCAGAATAAGACACCGCGAGGAAGACTGGGGTATACATCAGCCCGGTGCTGCACTGGTTAGATAAATTCCTCCAGGGGCAGGTTGAGGCATGATGCAGCAAAATGCTAAATACCTTGAGTCCTTTAAATGGCAGCGCATGCATTGTGCTTACATTACCTTAGAAATGAAAAATGGATTACTTCTACTTTTGCTGATTCCACCTCTATTGTACTCCACATGGAAGCCGGCTATCTGAGGCTTTCACGCCTATACAAGAAGGCACAGAGGGAGTAAAAGCCATTTTGAAGAATGTTCCGGCTGCACAGGCGACGCACAGAGTGATGAAGTGGGCCGGACTCTGCAGAATCACTCTTTAATGCTTAAACACACAACCAGACCTGGTATAAACCACATTATTGATCAGCAGCTTTAGCCTGTCCTGCATGGTGACTGATAGCTGAGCAGGTTGGGAGCAGATCACACACACACACACACACACACACACACACACACACACACACACACACACACACAGTAGATCAACTTGATGAAGTCTATAGGTCTGGTTACTATTCATATGACTTTAACAAAACACATACTCACTCAGTCACTGAGGTGGGCTTCTGACACAGACCCCATTTACACCTAATTATCACATGGATATTTTATCTGGACAGAAATTTTTTAATAATTTTTTATTATAATGCGTGCAGCTAAAGAATTAAAGTTTTATTTATTCACATTGATAATTACATGCACAATGTAGTTTACTTGTAATTAACAATTTAAATGATTAATTTATTTTAAGCAGAAACTCAGGTTGGGGTCAGGCCTGATTTCTTTGGGCCCAATCAAAGCTCTAAGCCGGGGGCCCTGTTCCATGTTATCCCCTATTTCACCTCATTTCCTGTCACACCTCTCAGTGCCTTTAAGGCCAGTGTGGACAGAGGGACTGAATGCAGTGACCAGTAACTCTTTCAGTGTACATGTAGGCACGTGAGTCTTAAGTTTTAAGGTAGGTAAGTTTGACCTACGTATGCAGTTTGCCACATTGCCACACGCTCTTCCCAAACTAAATCCCTTTGTGAAATATTTATCTCATTAGCTCATGCATGCCACTGCTTGGGTTTGGAAGAGGCTAAATACCGCTGTGGATAAGAACAGTGATTGTGGCCTCACGGCAGCACTTGTGTTATCTCATTTCGAGACGCTTTAATATTTGATGCACTCCTTCGTAAAACACAACATAAGAAATATTAAATGTTTATAAACAATTGTGAAAGCAAACAAAACCTTGTTGTTCATGTTAATGTGAGACTACAGTACAAGGACAACACACACACATCATGTACATATATTTGGGTTTACACCCTGCTGTGCTGTGGTGTTACACCATTAAAAAATGTTCTGCATGCCCATTCATCCATCCCATCATCCTTCACTTCCCTCACTTTGCCTCTCAAGGGGTGTGGTAAATAAAAATAACCTGCAAATCAGATGACACGCTCCGCCAAAGCAACAGCAACCACAGGGACGGCCGCTGCACGATTCTTCGTAATTTAAGCATTTTCTATCCATCGTCTGTGGCCATTGTTGCTCTTTTTTGGGTCTAACCATGGTAAAGTAGCGACCATAATCCAGTGGAGAACCTCACATAAAAAAGAATTGGGTTGAGGGTCTGCGTAGGGTTCCTGCTGAGCCACTGAGGGATGAGAGTGGCTTCATCTGAGAGGATAAAACGACTGGCTTGAAAGGGAAAGGGACTGGCAGAGAGGCCGTCTAGGCTGATGACACAAGCTTGAGTCACTTTTTATGGATGCTACAAAATAAAAATAGATTGGTTTGGTTCGCAGGTGTTGAAATTCCTTTCCGCTATTCATGTTTATGAGCCTCGGTTAAAAACTGCTTCCTCTGCCCGCCAGAACTGAGCTCATTTGCCTGTTTTTACGAGCTAGCCTCTCCTTGTTAATTCAGCCGATCGACTAAAACCCAAACAATTTAAATCTTAAAGAATGTGCTCGTGAATTTTACACCCCTATTAGAGTTTTTTTTACCTTTCCTCACTGCCCCTCTCCTCTCTCTTCCTATTGATCACCCATAGCCAGTGAAGATGGTGGAATAAGGCATGTCCACAGCACGGTAGCTACATGCAAGGATTTACCCAGCAACAGCAACACAGGCAACGCATACAAAAATAAGCAGCCCACAAGGCAGTTGTACACGAGTTGATCAACACAGTCATTCCAAATCAGCAAACAAGGCAGTAACTCATTCATTCATCAATCAATACATTAAGTAATTCAGTCAGGCAGTCGGTAATCCACCCAACCAGTGTCTTAGTGAGTACCTGGTGGTGGTAACTGCCCTCCCTTCGATATGAGGTCTAAACAGGGAGAAAGTCAGAGGGACAAGGTCAGGGAGGGGTTAGTATAATAATAGAACAGAACAAAAAGACAGGATAGGACAGGATAGGATAGGATAGTACAGAATGTATCCAATTTTCATAGTTTGGCCATCACTCTTATCTGTGTTAATAACATTGTACTAACCAAATTAACTGGAAAGATAATGACTTTGCTAAAAAGAAGTGTGCATGGTGAAGAAACATGAGCAGTCAGATGAAGGCGCAGGTTTTAGAAGATAAGGTTAAAATAGCAGTCACACAGAAAAACGTGTTAATCAACCAGTCATTTTCTTTTGTGATTCAGTCAAGCACAAATGTAAACATGATGTTTATTGCAGAAACAAACTAAATAAAGACTTAAAGCAAGCACACCTCCCTCCAAAATATTTCCTAATATCCATTCTATATTTATCATATATACGTATCCTTGCAAACACAACTTAACACAATTTATGTTCTTCTATATAAATGGGTATATTACAAACCTATGACCACAGAATTTTCTGTCAGCAAAAGCCTTCCATCAACTCTGTTCAGAATGACAGTATCAGATAATGAAGAGTGTAACTCAATGCCACTATTGTACAAAAACAACAAATGCCATTTTCTAAAATCAATTCCTTGTGAAATGTATCCATTGTAACATTTTCTTATAGACACTCATATGTAACATTATCAAACCCACAGCCAGTGTGGGCTAGATATAACATTACAGCTACAGCCACAGTCACATAATCATTACCTTGCAGGTCACAGAGATCTGTCAAGAGACTCCCCACAGACTGACGTCCTACTTCAATTTACCACGTTAACTTTGTGTACACACAGTTGACTTTTGGTTTTACCTCAAAATAAAAGCAGTTACTTGTTTAAAACTTGTTAGACCCTGTTTCTTACCCTGTCAGTCCTGCTGTCACAATGTTGCTGTGTTCCCAGATGTCAGCACATTAATGAGTGCAGTGTTATAATATCATAACTGACAGAAATGATGGTCAAACTACGGAAGACGGTTCAAGTTGTAATCAGCTACATTTAACCTTTAAATAAGTATATAATGTATCTGTCACCTACTTTAATGCAGATTTGGCACCGTGGATCCACAAAGCAAATTAATTGTGTTGAATTGTTGCATTTTAGAAGAAAAGCGAATAAAATCGAATACTTTCCCAGTGATTCTACGACTTTATTTCAGGTTGTTAAAAATATGTTAAAATATTCAGGTTTGTATAGAGAGTATCAGAAAGCTGATTACAATGCCCAGTGTAGAGCTACCCATTCAACACCACTTACTATAGCATCAAAACACCTTACTACTTTACCTTTAGTTTTCTTACACAGCATTATTTGCATTTTGATGTCAGCCTATATATAATTTCTTGCTCCACCATGATATTTGTCAGGAATATCAGAAAGGTTGTTCAGATATTTTGATCTGGAGACTGAAATGCTTTGTATTGGTCTAATCATGATATCAAACGTGAAACACATTTCAAGACTGAACAAAGCCGAGTCACGTCAAGAGCCTCTTCAGAACAAACGAGGCTGGCCGAGCTTATTGCTTGTTTACCACTTCACTGACTGCAGTGACACAAGCAGCTGTTGATCTGGCGTCATGCACTGCACTGCGTCCAGGAAAACAATCAGACCTGATCAAACCAGCTGGTGGCAATCTATTACGCACATGCTCGTTTGAAATGATTGATTTCTATTTAACTTCAAATGAGTTGACTTTGAGTGAACGCTATTATTGTGAAAGGGCCAACATTACCCTAAGGTTCACTTCCAGTACACTAAGCCTTGCCCATTTCTTCTCGACCGATTAGTCTTCCCAGCATGCATGATTAGCAATGACCACGGGCTATTGGGCAGTGACAAAGCAAATGAGTGAGGCTGCCACAGATGGGATTCAATTTTTCTGACCTGAAGGAACAAACTTAACACAATGGGTTTGCTGTGCGATGTGCCACTCATTCAGAACTGGGGTTATGTAATCTTTGGTGACATTTCACTGTAGAATTGGTTTCTGGGACACTTTAAGGTGAAGCAGTGATGTTTGTACGTGTTAGGTTGAGACTTAACTCTCTAAGAGTGAGGCGACAGCTGATTTGTATAAATAGTGGAAGAATAAAGAAGAACAAACAGAACAGGGAGTAGAGAGAGAAAAAGATGGAAGGAACATATAAGGCAGTAAACGAAAGCAAGAGAAAGGGACGAAGTTGGACAACTTAGTTTAACAGTCTTACCTTGGAGCGGGTTTTGAAGGTCCTGAAGGCGCCAGTTTTGAAGATGACCCTGTTCCTCTTACAAAGAATGAAGGCCACCATGCCGATCACCACCACCAGCAGGAAGAGAGGTGTCAGAACGGCCATGATCCACAGGTTGCCAGGCGGCGTCTTAACCACAGCTACAAACATACAAATATTACTCATCAGTATTCAGTATGTGTTTAAATCATTCCTTTTTTCATACCTGAGACTAGATTGACAAATATGGGGAATAAGTTTGTTTGCTCTCTTGCCAATATAGAAGATTGATACCACCCTCATGTTTACAGGCCGTGTATGGAGCTAGTGCCAGCAGGCGGTTAGCTTAGCTTAGCACAGAGACTGGAAGCTCGGGAAAACAGCTAGCCTAGCTCTGTCCAATTTAAAACACTCTGCCATCTTGCACCTCTACAGATCTCTAATTAACACTTTATATCTCGTTTGTTTTACGCTGTCCAACCATTGTGGAATTTCCACTGGGGATGGGGATGCATGTCCTGTTTTACAATTTCAATTAGGTTTATTACCCTTTTGAGGGCAGCTGGACTTTGTGAAGATGACAAAATCACGAGATCACGGAGAATCCATCTTGCCAGGCTTCAATCTATGCATATGTTTGTGGCCGGTACAGTGTTATTGGACCAATCCTATTCTGTGTAACAAACCATCTGGTTCAGTCATAGATTTACAGTACTCACTTTAATCTCCCTAAACAATATCTTCTTACCATCCATCTGATGAGAGAGAAGAGGAGCTGATGAAAATGCTGAAACACTCATCGGAGTTGCCTTCAATTATTACAGAGCGCTCAGAGCAATAAGCTTAATAAAGAAATATAAAATAAATTTAAATGTCGTACTACCACTCCCACACCCCAACTGTTTGCCCTGTTTCCTTCTGCAAAGTAGGCTAATTATCTTCTGGCAGTCGATCCTGAAGTATTCATTTAAATAATAAAGAAACAGCATAATAAACGACAGAAATGTGATAAACGAAAACATCTTTGAGGACTTAAAATCTACATCCAGAAATGTGCTTTAAAGTACAACATAAAACTTGCTTGAATACCAAGCTTTTCACTCAAATATCTTCCTAATAACTTGTTTCTCCACTATCACAGAACAGTTTGCCAAAGGGATGTGTTTTCATTTGAAGGACTAATACAGTTTCTTTCCACTGAGCCCGTTACGGCAAACCGAGTGAGTTTTACAAGAACACTATGTTCATTTCCTGGCTTATGCTCTGTTTGGAGGAGCTGTGAAGGGTGCTGATGGTTGTTGGTATCTTTCCAGTTTGTTAATTATAGTTTCTGGGGAAATGTGGGGGAGAAAAGGTGAGAGGGAACACTTTGTCCTCTCCAGCAGCTACTGTATGAACATCCTTCTGCATGGGTGAACATTTACTAACAAATATACACAACCACAATATTGTGAACGTTACATCAGATAAGTGAGGATATGCTGTCTTTTTATTTTGAATTTATTAGTTTAAATTTGTATTGATATTTTAAAGCTTTATTGGATACGAAGGGAATTACAGAAATTATGGAAATTTATGGAAAACTTACAACGCTGCACAATGTCAAGGTGAGCCAAGACTGTTATGCTTTAGTTCAGCAGATAAACCTTAAAGAGCAGTTAAACTGGGAATGTTTGCTCTACAATGGCTGCTGAAAGAGGAATGTGTGAACTTACTGTGCATCTATAATATAATGTACACATATGTGCCAATAGCTAAATGTAAAAAAAAAAAAAACATGGGAATGAAAATGTGGGTAAATATGTGAGTAAATATGCAAAAGAAAAACAGTCCACATTCTGCACTGTTCCTATTTTTATGCTAATGTATTGTATAGCTGGAGTAAATCAGCCAGTACATGAACAAATGGGAATAGTACAGAGTGTATTTTTAGATTTTGCATTTCAACATCAATAAACTATGCATTCATCTAGAAACCTTAGAATAATGAATATAAACAATAAGACTCCTATCACCGGAGTTAATATATGAATCTATTAATATGCACATTGTGTTCATTTCTAAAGTTTTCCTGCTGGACACAAGATGTCTCCTCACTGTAAAGTCCATTCTCAGTGGATGTGCACTGGTGGCATCACTCAAACAGCACACTGTAGGAACAAGAAGACACACTGATTTCTGACTGGAGGGGGTCTTTAAATATATGTCATGAATCCTCCCCTGTCATCCCCTTTTGTGTTCACTGTCTGGCCAGAAAGGTATAAATGTCTCTTTGTCTATTTTATGTTGAGTGTTCTTGTCTGTTGATCGGTTTCTGATTTACTTGCTTGGCCCTTAACAAATATGACAAATACATGAATTATTTAACACTGTACAGTAAGACAATAAGCTTACGTTCAGCTTGCACTTGTACAAAGTATCCCAGTGTCAGAGCCATGGTCTGGGAGTCCAGACTGCTGAGGGTCTTGGCAGCGTTGGTTCCAGTGATCGGTGCTCCGTTCTGCTGGACATAGTATGTCATCTCTGCTGGGTTCTTGGGACCAGGCAGTCGACGCATGCTCACCATCTGGATAGGACAAAGAAAGGGTCCAATAGTATCTCAAGCTGATAATGGCATTTTGTGAAAAAGTGTTTATATTTGATCAGACCGCATACGAATACGTCACCATTACATATTAGCTCTAGAATTGATAGATAAGAGAATAGTTTATTTTAAAGATTATCAGTTCAACATACCATCTATAGCCAGATTTAATACAAAATCCTTTATCTCTCCCCCACAACAGATTAAAAGTGCCTGCTATATCTACAGTGGCCCAATCAAAATCCTGAATCAGCTCGGCTGCTTTGATCATGACGAGCCATTTGCTGCAAGATAACTGCACTTGGGGAAGACACTCGAGGATAACTGAGTCACTTGAAATCTCAATTTCCTTTCATCATACATCAAACACCTTTTTTTAATTTGACGAACACATCACACGATTTAATCAAGTCTGGTAATTTGATTTTGTCATAAAAAGAAGGGATGTGTGGTATTAAATGGCTGGATGATTTCTACCCTCGCTACAACCCGTCGTCGCGCCCCACACCCCCCTCTGTAAGCCTCTCCCTCCTCCACTTCTGCAGACATAAAACTGGTCATCTGTGACTTCCCATAAAACCTTGTGGCTGCGTAAGGCATAAAGCCCAGGAGGAGTCAATCGTTGTCTTAATTTGCACAATATGGAACACCGGGCAGGGAGGTGACAGATTAGACAGGTAGTAACTGATTACATGTAATCGAGATTATGTAATCAAATTACAAACATAAGTAACTATAGTCATCCCAGATTTCATTTGAAAAAATTGTAATTTGATTATAATTACATCATCAAGAATTACTTGTTACATTTTTGATTACGCCTTTAAAATATGTCAATTGTAAAAATGATGACCTTTCTCTTCTGATAACCAATGCTTTGGAAAGGTGACAGACGAATGGGATCAGTCACATGTTATTCCATTGTGCAAGGCGCTTGAGTACAGAGCTGCAACACAACCTCTGATTGTTAGACAAACTCAAGGCACCATGGGATTGCAAGAGGACTAACAACCGTGCTAAACAAAACAATGGTTTTCAACACGGAAAAATTGATAAATAATTACAGAAGACATTTGCTGTAATTTGATTTGACCAACTGTAAATGCTAAATATGCTAAATAAATAAGTTTGTTCAATGTTTGACTTTTGACAAAAATTAACATTTAACCTGCAATCAGTAACTGACTTTCAAAGTAGTCTGATCACTAATCACTGCATGCTTTCCATTGGCAGCCAATTGTTTCATTTCAGTGTGCAATAGAAATGTACTGGCAGAGAACAATGTTTTTTATAATCATTACTGATAAAGTTGCCTTTGTATTAATTGTGTTTGAAGGTTTGATATTGTATGTATGTATTGAAAAGCAGAACCCCCTTGTTAATGCATTCAAAGATACTCTGACTGAATGAATGACTCTTGGAGTCTGCTCCCATACAGCAACCTTTTTAATGCAAGAAATTGTTATTATTATTATTATTATTATTATTATTATTATTATTATTAACATTTGCACTACAACTGCAACTGAAGATATATTTATTTTATTTATCCTCTGAATATATTTGATTGTTTGGTCTATAAAAACAATCTCAAAATTTTAAGTTGATGCCAGCAATATTAAAAAAAAAAAAAGAAGTAACATGTCAATCAATAATTTTGGAGTATTCCTCTGCAGACAATTACTAATATAATATACACCAATAAGAGGAGGGTGCTGTCCAGGGTCCTGAATGTGGAGCTGTCCCAGATATTCATTGACCTGCACTGATGACCAAGAGTTTGCTTTCAGATCAGGATTTTCATTCACTCACTATACACTTACATATCCAAGAGCCCCACCAACAGCGGGGTGCTATGGTTGCGCTGACAGTCAGTTGGTATGTCAGGTATAAGTTTCTACTTATTCAGTGAAATCTCTACATTACTGGATGCACTGGCACAAATGATGGTATAGAAATTCATGGTTCACAGAGGATGAATACAAATGATTTCAGTGATCTCCTGTCCTCTATCTAGCACCACCATCAGGTCAAAAATGAATGATATAATATAACAATGAATTAAATAATATCAGTTATACCATACTTTCATGTGTGCAAGAATACCAACACGCTCAACTAGGTTGATGAGCATGGTAAACATTACACCTGCTACAACATCAGCATGTTAACATCGCCATAGTGAGCATGCTGACATTAGCATTCAGATCAAAGCACTGCCATGCTTACTGTCAGTACTGTAAAGCCACACAGAGAAGCTAGCATGACTGTAGACTCTCATTATTGTCTCCATTATTTTTCGCTTCTGCTGAGTCAACTTGTGTTGTCTTCTCCACAGAGCCCCAGAAATATCACATTGGATCCTGTTCAACTACATCACACAAAATTGAGATAGCTTTCACAGAAACATGCAGGTTAATTGTTCACTTGGGGGACTTTCACTTGGGAAGGAGCAAACTGGTTCTTCTAATAAAGGCAGGAATGGCAATTCACGCAATGACATACAATGAATCCCATTCCCCCCCCCCCACCTGCACAGTGTAGCTCCCCACGGTGGTGGCCCGCCGAGATCGCACAGTCCGAGAGCCCTGCCTGCCGGCCACCAGGAAGAGCTCAGCCAGCCGCTGCTCCATCAGGCTGGCAAAGCTCTGGTAGTTACCCTCCAGGGAGGAGCTGTCCACATCCTGGATCACTGTGAGGAGAGATCAGAGAGGACAGAGGGATTTAGGGAGTAAAGAGCGGGCAAAGAGGGGTGAAAGAGGAAAACCGGTAAGAGGATGGAGGATGGGATGGGAACGACAACATGAGGCAAGAGCAGAGGGAAGGAGCAAACGAGGACGGGGTGAGTATGGGAAAGAGGTGAAGATGGAGTAGAAAATATCAAAGGGAGATCATATGAGGACGATATTGATATTGAAGAGAATAGGGGAGGCAAAGAGAGACAACAGACAGGAGATGAGTGTGATATTAGAGAGGACTGGATGATCGTCCCATCCACTTAAAAGCTGCTCATCCAGAAACTTCTATTACAGCTGTAGCAACACACACTGTGTGCATGTCTCCTCCTCACAGAAACAAACACAAACACACACACAGGTGCTTGCATCAATCTTGCTCTGAGTGCGTCTCTTACTAGAGGCTATAAGTGAGATGGAGCAGTGGACAGACTTCACACACACACACACACACACACACACACACACACACACACACACTTCAGCATCATTCACACCCGGCTGTGATGTGATATGAAGTGATCTCTCCCTCTGCCCCAGTCAGGAAGCTGTGAATTATACATCAATAGGTTTTCCCAGGAACAGAGCGGCTAAAGACACTCTAAGCACTGAGAGCGGGTGGGAGAGGGAACGAGCAGGCGAAGGGAGTAGGGAGGTGGGAGGGAGGAGAGGAAAATCTGGAGAACCAATACTATTCTGCTGAATTGCACAACAGCGAGCGCTGGGGCATTTAACTAACTGCTGTTTTGTCCAATCGATACGGCTCTTGATTACCGCTAATCACCCAGTAGCACTTTTGTCTGTGTGTGTTTGTTTGTGTGTGTGTGTGTGTGTGTGTGTGTGTGTGTGTGTGTGTGTGTGTGCAAGAGCAATTTACCTGTTATCACCCAATAGTTCTTGGTTGCCATCGATGTGTTCAGATTATGGTATTCAAGGGCTGAGGAGAGAAAGAGAGAGAGAGGTAGAGATGTTACAGATATCTGCAACTTTTAGAAAGCCTCATTCAAGCCTTAGTGCTTGCTAATTCAAATTATTCTTTGTTTGGCTGTTCACATTTTTTCTTAATTTTGGTCACATCAAACATGCATTCAGCCAGGTCTTCAGGTGACGTATCTCATCTTGTACATTTGCTTTCTGTTTAGTCACATATATACCACTGACATCAGAGAAAACAGTGTTGTTTAACCAGAAAGATATTAAAGCACAGGTGTTACTATTAACATTAACGATGGCTCTGGTGCATCAAGTGTCCCAGTAAGCCATGACAGTGTGACAGTGAGCCAACATAAACAATACCAGGACTCTGAAACTGAAGCAGCTAAATGGAATTCAGCCATCATTCATTTTATTATTTACACCTCAGATTTTCCTACTGTGGAGAAAAAGTCCTATTAATCAAACTGACAAACCAATTTACCCACAGTGCACTTGAAACTTAAAACGGGGCAAGGTCAGTTGCCCTGTTTGCCAACTTGGAAATCCAGCCTTGGGCAACGTTCAAGCCCAGGTTTACAAATCGTAGATATTTAATTGCAACAATCTCCTCAGATACTATTCGCAGTTGGTAACACAGCTGTCGGGTTGTGTGGAAGAATTCAGGGAGTGACTGAGTTAATTCCAAGTTAGACAGAAGAATTTCCAACATGTGCTTAAAAAATATGTTGGAAAATATATTAGCTTCATCAGCTTGAGAATGCATTTTTGCACAGAGCAAGGACTGTAGAAAATGTAATAATGAGCTGAAGATGCCCGTTTAAGTTCAGACGTGATTCATTTGCTTAAAAGCTTTTTGGGGGCCATATGTGATAGTATGTATGTTAGTGTATCTATAGATATAAATAATAACTGTTATAATAATAGTAATAATAATAATAATAATAATATACCACCCTTTCCTTCTCACTCTCCTCCTCCTATATCCTTACACACACAACTCCCATACTCACACATACACCTACTCATATGCATAGTACAATAAGAAAATGTTACATCTTAAACTTACTCAGGTTCCTCCTGTTAATCACTTAAGCTTATCTGAATTTCTGCCTTTTTTGTTGTTGTTTCTTTGTCTTGCCCTGTCATGAAAAAAAAGGAGGAGGAGATTCTTAGCACTGGCCCTTTCACGGATGATAAAATCCGATTAAACACTCCTTGTCAGGTCTTATTATCAACTTTTACTTTCTTACCTCTCACTGTCTTACTTCCTCTATCCATTCTTTCTTTCTGCCTGCGTGCCTCTGTACCTGCCTCATTGTCTACCTGTTTACCTGTCAGCATATTCATTTCCTAAAATGCCTGTTCCTTTCCGTCCAAGCCGACTGTCTCCTTCTGTCTTTATCTACCCATCATCACTCTCTCAGCCCGTCGACCTCTTTCTGTGTCCTATTCATCCGTCAAACCCATCTTTCCTTATTTCCCATCTGCCTGTTTCACCATCTGTCTCCACCTAACTCCTCCGAGCTGGCCGTCTGCCTAGAGTTGTGTTTAGTTCGAGTCAATGGCGTTGCAGCAACGGTAGCTGTTAATCCCTGCGAATGTTTCTGCTCAGCGCTCTGTCTGCTGCCGCCTCCCTGATGCCTCTGTACGTGAGCACATTTACATTCACTGAGGTCTCCTCCAACTAAACACTTAAGACAAACAGCACTGAAGTGTTAAGGTTCAGATGCATTCAGTGGCCTTTAGAGAATCAGTTCAGCGGGCCCACAAATCCACAGCAGCTGGAAACTTTAGTTGTATAATTCCAAAAAAAGATGAAGAAATAGAAAAAGCTCCTGCTCCAATCTAATAATGAACAAATATAAGATAGGTTTAAAGGATAAGGCTGATGTCATTCTATATTTGTCCTACCACCAACAAAAGACCAAAACCAACAATGAATTGTCTGTCTCTCAATACGTTCTATCTCATTTGTTCTTATGGAAGAACGTGTCATATAAAACTATAGTTTTTTTTATTTTTTAAAGGATCCAGAACATTCTAAACCAGCTGGGCACTGTAGTTTTTAGATGTTACTCAAACAGCAGTAAATACTACATTTATTAGGGATTATTTTCAGCTGCGGTGTAATACAGATTTGGTGCTCTAGTGAGTATTTCCAGCAGTAGAACTTTCTTGTCTATCTATACATTAGCAAAAATACAGAATATTGCCAGTCGTATTCTTTAAAGCAACGGTTCCCAGCCTAAGATTTATATATTTCTAAGTAAGTTATTATGACGTTAATGTAAATCTCTAACCTTGATTATTTGTACTGTTGTGGGACTTGAAAACAAGACAACCCATCTCAAAGGGCTGATCCTAAATAAATCTGCATATATATTGTTGGTCAGGAAGTGAGAAAGAGGGCTGCACATGTGTTGTTTACCCTCCAAAGTACAGATGGTGAATGAGTCTCCAGTTCACTTTGGTCCACAGTACTCTCCAGTTAAATTAAACCGTTACATGTTGTAGACGTGGAGGCAGCTGTCCACATAGACTCCTCTACACGTAGACAGACAGTGAAGGTCAATATTCTGGCTGCTTTGATCACATGAGAATTGATCATCTATTTGTGCTCTCAGTGTAAACACAGACTATGCATCACTAATGTGTCTGAGTATTTGCATCCATTCCTCAACCGATCACTAATCTAATTTATCACTATCTATGATTCTTTAATAATTTGCTCATTGTTTCACGAATAGTAAAAGGGAACAGACAGGATTTCCGTGGTGATGCCATGTGGGTTTGGATGTGACCATGTGAAGTGTGATGTTTTAGCCCTTTGGGTGTTTGAGAGCATGCACAACTAGATACTTATCTAATCTCACTGGGCTAAAATTAGCTCATTCAGGGGGCATGGACAACAGATTGCCTATGGCATGATTCAGATGATAGGAGCTGTACAGCTGTTTGCCCTTTTAAAAACTCACAGATGGCATAAGAGGCTGGAGTGGAATACAAACAGAGCTCAAGTGGCTCAGCTATGGGGTCTATGGTCTTTTCATTGCTCATAAGGCAGATGATATAACAAGAGTTAAATGGAGCTAATTTGGTTTGTACCTACTGAAGGTAACCCTCTTAGCACTTTACCACAACCATTCTAAATTTTGCCAAAATATAGCAATATAGCAGGAGAACAATGTCTGCCTCCTAAAAATGATATATATACTTTATTACATTACAAAACATATTTGCATTACCAAATATGTTGTGTAATGCCCTGATTACATTTTGTTACAAGTTTCCCTATAATATCTAGTCCTGGTTACTATGATTAACAATTTTAGGGTTATGTTTAGTCAACTTGAAGCTTGATTTTGGTGTTAAATGTTGAAAAAGACAATGCTGATTAGAAGCACAAGATGGGTTGCAAAGACATTTTAATATTTAACCATAACCATCCTCTTTCCCTAACATTAAAGCAGCACTAATCAGTTTTAGACATGTTCACAACAAGCTGTACCTCACAAACCCATTGTTTTACATCCTTCTGATCAATGCAAGTCCAACGTTAAATTTCTGATTCTACAGCTGTACTTGCTCTGGTATGACCAGTAGCCTGTGGTGGTTCATGTTTTTTGTTGTAGCTGAGTTGTCATCAACTCCCTTCACTTCACGCAGTTCACTGTCTCCACCGTGGACAGCTGTCCACTCCATGTGTGGGAGCTGAGCCCGCCAAACAAGCAGAGGAGAGAGCAGAGAATCTAGCACAACCGTGCTGTGATTTAAATGACAGTAAAACGTTGTAGAGAACTCTCAGCATAGTTTAATTTCTTTTCTGTCTCTGTTATGATTTTAGATTATGAGTTTATGTCTGACATATAAAGATCACACGGTCAAAACAAACTTCTCAATTTTCTTGGTTAATAACTATTAGTCCCCCATCTAATATATGACTGGTTGCCTGAAAATGAGCAGTAGTGACGACACCAGTGCCTTTCTGAAGAGATTTTCAACCAGAGGCGCTCAGAGCGGCTTCACAAAAAAGGCAGGGTGCTCTGAAAAGAGACACCCGGGTTCAGCGCCTTTTCTCTACACACTCTCTCCTCATTAGGAACAATGGAGAAAAAGATGCTGGTGCTCCGACAAACACGCTATGTGGACACGGCCCCTATGCAGCAAAACAATGTCAAACTTAATGTATTGGAAAAATACATGTGTATGTAATGTATCTGGAAAAGCAAATTAGTGGTATGTAGTATATGTCTGAGGCTCACTCTAGGCTGGAGGCCACAATCTAGAGTAATCCTGAATTCCCCCCCTTTGAGAAGCAGGTCAAACATACGCTAAGTCATGAATCATGCATTGCCCTGCAGTGGACCCAATGGTTCTCAGTAGTCAGTGTTGTTGAAGGCACCATACATATGGCTATGTAAGTCTGTCTCAATGCAGCAGCACACTGCTACAGAGAAGAAGCAGGACAACAGCGGTTATGTAATGACAATAAAGTAGCATGAAGAGACCAGAGACCGCAGTCCTCCATCCTACCTCCAACCTCTGTCTGCTGAGCCTTTCAAGACTAAAAGAAAGCTCTGAATGCAAAAATCTTTTTTAGGACTCAAGCACAGCTCTCTATACTTGTTCCCTTCCTGCTGCTGAAAAACTCATAAAACACACTGAGCAGGGATGTGCTTTGTTTTTTTAAGTCAACCTTCACAGTCTGAGGGCAACACTAAAGCTAGTTAGAAAAAAATAATATAGCTCCCTCACACTTTATTAGCACATTAGTGGTTATTTTGCTGTAATATATATATCTTGATGCAAGACGTTCATCAGCACGTCCAATTCTATTAGTGTGGTCTTTCCCTTGGAGAAAAGGTGCAAAGAATGAAGCAATAGAGGAAGAGAATTAGCTTATAAAAGTTAGAGAGATGACTAAAAGCCTAACAAAGATTTCTATGTCTCAAAAGTCACATTTTCTATAAATAAGCAGTGACTGTAATGAAGAGAGTATCTTTCCAGTGTGTGTGAGAGTGAGCTAAAATAACACCCATTAGGATAACATAATGTCAAGTCAGTGGAATGTCAGCACCAATCCTGATTCACATTGTACTTCAGCTCTTAAATGTCAGTTTAGATGAAACTCTTAAAATGGCAGACGCCCATAATGTTGTTTTTGATAGTACTATGGAAATAAGCTCTAGTGTGGTGTATTGACTCAAAAAGTTGATGCGTCACTACAGCATTTAGCTAAACATTAGGACATCTGTGTTAAACACTGCCATCAGAGCCACGTGCTTCATCCACAGATAAACTGCTCATTGTCATTGTCACTTAGAGCCCTCTGAATAATTACAAATGCATCATAATTGTCCAGCAGTGCCTCTGAGAAGATGGCCTGGAGGTACATCAAGTGAATGAGTATTAAGCACCCTGACTGAACTCTAATTTGTTGGCTAGTGGACACCATAAATTCTGGGTTAGGCAATGCTAGCCAAGTCTTTATGTGTAGCCATAAGAGCAAAGCAACTGTTTGCTGCTGTGATTGCTCAGAAATGAGCAATGAGTGAGGGATGAAATGTCCACGAGCAGTGATGCCAACTCATGTAGCTGCTGGCTGCTCAAAATTTCCAGACAAGTTGCCAGATGACCTAACTTGCTAATTTGCATATGAATATGAGACCTTTCATTGTGTGGAGAGCGCTGAGATCATCAGACCTCTCTGTATTAAATACAGAATTAATTACTACAAATATATGTTCACTGCTATCAAGTTAATTGTAGGTCGAAACTTTAAAGGGTCAGGTCACCCATCTCAAAAAACATATTTTATCACTTAACCCGTGGTGGTATCTAGCCATGCAGATAGTTTTAATATAATGGAGGTCAATGAAATTTTGTTGTTGATCACAGCATTGAAAAATACAAGAGAAGCATGTCTTTGTCCTTATAACAGTGTGGTATGCCATATCATCGCCATTTTTGTTATTTATGCTTTGTTGGGGGTACAGCAGGACAATGTTTAATCTCAGTACCTGCTCGTACTAATCACCACCCCTCCTTTTTTAAAACAATTTTGATGGAAAGTAGTTCCAATCTAAATTTAATTCACTGGTATTTTAAAATACGACCAACCACACAAACACACACACACACACACACACACACACCACATGCTTGTGTCTCTTTTTGGGGAATCAATATTCAGTTCAAAAGAAAATAGTCTACGTTTTGGTCACAAGGACATTTCTCAAGACAGGATGCAGTAGATGCAGAATACACCTACTGTATCTCAAAACCAAAAAGTATCTGCATGGCTAGATACCACCAGGTAAGTGAAAAATATTTTTCAGTCAGTCAAAGCACATGGACTGGGCTATCATGTGAATGTGGGTGTCTTGGCTCTGACCAGGTCACTCCCCACAGGGAAACATCGCATTCAGCCGAGCTTTCAGATGCCAGCAGGCATGGCAGTTAAAGTACACCGCCAAATGAAAATGGTGCGATGGACAAACGCTGTAGTGATAGGAGTATGCCATGTTATTGGGGTGGCAGAACCGAGTTGACTGCCTGAACTAGCTACCAAAACGTCCTCACTGAATGGTAAAAAGCATTTTTTACAAAGTAAAGATGTTCTTTATTTAGCAGCTCTGTCATACTGCATATTGGCTGAAGTAATTGTGTTTTTCTATATGCAACTTATATACATACAGTAACGTTTACCCCATATTATACAGTATATCTAATGTATTGCTGTATATACTTTTGTTCTTTTTGTGCAAGTACAGCTTCTGTTTGAGCAGTATACTGTTAAAAAGGTACCCAGTGGAGTTTATGTGATGTTGTGAATGTTTGTATGAGTGGGTGCTCATTTGGTTTGCACACACGTATGAGCCAGGCAATGTGATACGCATTCCTGCTGTTTCCACTTGTTAGCTACTGTACACCAGCTTCAGGATGACGGCACAGTCGAGCTGAAGGCAGACCACACTCAAATATACTGATCATTAATTAGGTCTATGTGTCATCATCAAAGACCTTAAGGTCAATTGTGGCTTGACTCACGCTCAGCGATGACCATCGGTGGGTAGAACAGGAAGTATCCCACCAGCTCTGCGGTCAGCTGGTTGAGGAGGCCGCTGGAGATGGTCCCGTTAAGAATCGCATCCTGGTTTTTCACCACATACACCAAAGAGACTGATGGAGAGCCTGGCTCCTGGGACACACTCTGAATCTGAAGATAACACACAAACAGATCATTTTTATATTTTATTTGATTCAACTAATATAATAAGTTACTATGTGACCTAAATGTGCCATATTAGAATGATTCAATTCTTTATTTAGAGCAAACACACAAACAGGCAGCAGTAAGTAGAAGTCAAATATTCATACAGAAATATCTAATGGTATCATACCAAATGTCTAAGATGCCCATAAAGAATGCCTAACAGAGCTTTAGACACAGTATGACACTTTGAATGAACAATGTTCTTTTCATTCTATAATAAGACCTGGGTGGTACTCTGAAAATAATGTGACTGAGTCACCATAGTAAAGTGGATGATGATAAGAAATACCAGGAATTCCCATCACAATCCTCCATGAGTGTTAATATTTCAGAGGATAAATTATGAATGGACCCTATATCTGCCTCTGCTTGCTGAGACCTACTTTATGATTATGATGCTGTGTGCATGTATATCTTGCAGTCATGAGAGTACCGTAATAGCGAAAGGGAAAGAGAGAACAAAGATACCAAAAATACCTGAAAATGTTATAAACCTGTAACAGCGTTGTAGAAGTATGAGCTTTGATTGCGTTGCCTGAAATAAACCATTACAGGCTGCTACAGTTGCTCCCTCCTTTAAGTGTAAATTACCACCAAACCTGTCTGACTTTTGTGACCGTTCACTGAAAAATTACAGAGCAATTTGATGTGTTTTATGTGTTAATTTGCAGTAAAGCGCTTGCACTGTGGAACAGTGTGGCCAGAATGTAGCAGTCACATAAATAATTGTATGATTGTAGGAGTCCAGAATTTTACACAGAGCTTTATTATTCACAATCAGCATGCTACATGCAAATATACAGACTTGGCTGTGTGCAGTTTGCACTAAATAGCATCCATGAACCCAGGTAGTACCTCCACGGCAAGCCTGTTATAGGTCTCCAGCACTTTGTCCTGAGCCTCGTCATAGGCGTTTTCCAGTCTTTGCTCCAACATCTGGACAAAACTGCAGGAGTAGATGTTATCTGTTGGGCCGACGAACCTCAACACTGGGAGAAAAGATAATTATAGAAAATCATATTTAATTGATATTGAAATGAAAATTCATTTCAGACAGAAAAATTGCAATGTTTACTTTGTTTTTGACATGTACAACCAGTCTAATGCCATATATTTCTAATTCCTTCAGTAGTAACCCATGGTCAATAGTATCACATGCTGTTTTGAGATCACGAAATACACCCACTGAATATTCATACATTTTTTATTGAAGTTCAGATCAAGTTCTACTAGTTCTAGAACCATATTGCTGCTCACATTATTATTATTTAAAGATCAAACTGTTTAATACAAATACAGCACCAACAAAACTCTCATCTGATCTCAGAACCAGTAACTGAAGCAGTAGAGAAAGAGAAATTATTTAGAGACTATCTGGGGATGTGTTTTTGGTATTAATGAAAGCAGCGCTCTAGATAGATGTTGTCTGTGTAACCGATAAACCTAAGCAGTGAGACAGAAAAAGAGGATTATCGCCACTATCTAGAATGTGAACAATGAAAAGAGTAGTTGTCAGTCAGGAACGGGGTAAACAATATTGAGTCCATCAGCAGATTATGGGGGATGTTATTAATGTTGTCTCAGTCCTTTTACCGCAGTCGCCCTCCATTCTCTCCCTGCACTCTGTCTTTCTCTGCTCTTTTATAAAACCTCTAAAAGGACTGGGCTAGGAGAGGTGGAACAATATTCTGACCTAAATTCAAACGCTGTGGTGCTTATGAGCGTAGGGTACATCTCCAAAAAAAAAGACTGGTCTCATAGTCTGCAACACATTGCAGGCACAAACAGTGTTGACCCAGTTGGTAATCTTATGCAAATTGTGCTGTGGATGGTAAATTGGTATATACTGCGGATTTGTGGTTTATGAGCTGAACAAGCCAGAAATGGAGTTAATGGCTACATAGCTGCACACTTACCAGGGAACCAGGGGTAACAATGTTTCTGTAGTAAAGTCATTTTTTTGGGGTTCTTGTACCTCAATAAGTATTTTTTAAGCCGGTAATTTTGTTGTACATTTTGTTGCCTTACACTATGTAAGCTACTTGGCTACTTCTAAAATCATAATTTGCTGCTGAGTAGGCCAGCAATTTATATCCAAACCTATCATCTGTATCTTGTAACCATTAGCCAGAGACACATGAGGGACACATGAAGCAGAAGCACCCTGAAGCGCTGCCCACGTCCCTTCAGTGCCCATGATGAGCTCCACGGCCAGCTCCCGATCTACAGTGTATGTTCTATTTTTTCCGTGCACTATGGGCCTCGTTCCACAAGTCCAGCAGCACACTGTGGGCCAATGATAGCCATGAAAAGAGATGCAGCAGCAGGCACAGGTTTGGAGATGTGACAACACTGACCACTGGCTGGAGCAGGGAGTCATTTAGGGACTGAAGATTTGGAGAAACAGAAACTAAGCCTGGAGAAATGTATACTATTTGTTCTACAGCAGCTTTACCTGTATATGTTCTTAAAAAAAAAAGTGTAGTTGAGTAATATTTCAGTAACAGTTGGGAACAGTCTTTACGGCAGTATACATCCCACTACGAGCAGTAAAATTTGTAATTTGGCCATGTTAACACAGCGCAGAATCCCATTGGTCGCCTTTGGATCTAAAATACAGTAAGAGCTAATTGCTAACTTTGGCCGCTGTTTGGTGCTAAGAACAGATATCTGATGCTGCTGTATGCAAGGTTGATGAGAGCGTGAGAGTGCACCAAAACATTAAAGTAGCGGTACATAAAACCAAAACAATGAGCTAAAAAACCCTAATCACTCTAGCTGTAGCTGAAGGGAACTGTGGAGCTTGGTGATTTTTCTCTATGGCTTTATCCCTATGAGCAACCCCTTTTACTTTGCATGTCTACATGACCCACACAGACAGGCAGAGGGCAGCTTTAATTTGATTTGTAACAGCACTGCAAAATCTACCAAATTCTTTTGAGATAAATCAAACTCGAACACTGCACACTGAACAATTTAAAAAAATATATTAATAGTTGAGAAAAGTAATGGGTTTCCAATCTGCGCATGTATCTTTTAAATAACAATTTGTTAATTGCCCTGATTTTCCCTACCCTTGTTCCCACAAGACTCGATTTAGTGTGTGTGTGTGTGTGTGTGTGTGTGTGTGTGTGTGTGTGTGTGTGTGTGTGTGTGTGTGTGTGTGTGTGTGTGTGTGTGTGCACGCTGAAATGTGTTTTTTAAAGAGGCTTAAGAGGCTGACTAAATGAATGGACCAATTTGCCTTTGCTCTGCAATCATGGGAGTTTGTATGGGATTTAGGGTATCAGGGAAGAGTAAAGGAGAGCAGACATGTAATCAGAATTTTCTAATTTTGTCTCTGCTCCACTCTTCCCCTGTGTCTCCCTCCCTGTACTCTCATTGCATTTTCTATCTCTCTGCTCTCCCCCTGCTCATATTCTCTCCATCCTCCTCTCTCTAACCTCTGCTTTTCTTTATCCTTTCACACTCCATCACCAGAACGAACACCATCAGGCCATTTCTTTTGGATTGTGTTACGTAAAGGTTGATCTATCTTATCTTATTTTCCATCAGGTTTCATCACCTGTTTTTAGCTGCAGGTGAATGCTCGGAGTGGGCACCCAGGTTGCCACGGGAACCAAAACTGCCTTAACCAACGGGGTGTGCTGCCTGATGTCCGACAGCAGCTTGTCAAAACCATACACATTCAGCGCCTCAACCACCAAGGAGGAAATGTAGACAGTTTTGCCGCTGGTCACGTAGTAACCCAGTGTCACGTTGTGGGGGCTGCAGTCATCACGCTCCACCTGTGACAGAGAGAGAGAGGAAAATTTCAAGTTGTAGCCTTTTTTTACACTATACTTACATCTGTATTTCAAGACAGGCTGTGTACATACAACCTACAAACATGGTGATGCTAGTATGTCTTATTCCAAAGCACACACACTGCAAAGAAAACAAACTGTAGAGAAGAAATCAGTGCTACCAGGTGAAACAAGCTCAGAAGAATAAACTGGAGACGAGGTGTAAAGCATTTTCTTCTCATACATGTTGTATTTGTGCCATAGGTTTAGAATTCAAATGCATCTGACTAAGAATATTTATAATCCTTGGGGTTTTTTTTAAGCCAAATCTGCCCCGAGGGCATATTTTAGTTTGAGCCTTTAACTGTCATAAATCTGACTAACTGTGTCCCGGAAAAACACATACAGACAACAATCGGTGGTGAGTCAAGGCTCGTATTTCTGGAACTATACGCCGCCCACCTTCCTCTACCCTCCACCTTCATCCACACTGAGCAGCTGTGGCTGGCTGCCCCGAGCTAGTCTTTTTCTAGAAAAAACATAACCCTCTTAGTGAAACTGTATCTCATTACCTCTCCCCCTCCTCTCTCCTCTCCTCTCCTCTTCGTACTAATAAAAACTCACCCTGTTTTTCAAACGATACCTACCTGTCACCTTTATTTAAGCCACCTCCTGTTACAAGCAGTTGTTAAAGCTTTAGCCCCAGTTTATCAAACAGCCCTTTAGTTTTTAATTATACTCAGTGACACGTTATTTTATTCCAACTGCCCACCTTTGGGTTTTGCATTTCATTAGAAAACAAAGAGAGCTTTCAGATCTTTCATTTCAAGTCTCAATTCAAATGAAATGAGCGAGGAATTTTCTTTTTGATGTTTTTGGGTGCTGCAATATTTCTTACTGTCTTTATGTCCTTACATGCTCCTACACCAATATGTGGCAATTCAGAAAATAAAGTCATTGATTTCATATTTTGTTGAAAAATGACGCAATGTTTACCAATAAAAATGTAAAAAACAATTCCTCAAAGCTGTCAGTTCAGTAGCCATTTTGAGTAATAGACATTAACTTAGCAATTATTAGCAGAATAAAAAATATTATGAATTTATTTATAATTTATATAATGCATTTATTAATGTCTTTATTAACATCTATAACTCTTCTATAAAGCATTTATAACTGTACATAAACTGTTAATGAAACAAACATTTCTTGCCTGTAATTTGTACCTGTGTATACACAGTTAAGTTATTTATAAATATAGTTTAAAAAATACTTTACTTTAAGTAAAGGCTAATGAATAGTAAACAAGTATATTCATACAACCTTAACAAGTATTAGTTGGTGAATGTATTGATGAAAAATGTATTGTATAAACTACAGTGTCTAATCACACACTTAACAAAGTTTGCTAATATTTATTTAGCATATTTAGCAGCCATTTCTCAGTATTAATATAACAAATAGTTCTTGCCTAATTATGTTAATACAATTATACTATGTATTTATCAGTGCAAGAGTCTGGCTTACTGAGTTATTTGGTTAACTTAGCTGAGTTATCCACAGAGCAGGCCTTTTCACATGCTTTACAGAGGCTCTGGGTTTGAATCTGAAAAGTTATAAAATGTTTGATTGTACAGTCTATACAGGCTATATACTGTGTATACAGTACACAGTTATACTCAGGAACAAATACAAACAACACACTAACTTTGTTGCATGAATAATCAATGCCCAACAGCATATTCCTGCACAGTAAATAACAGTTACAGAAGACAAAATAGATGGATTGACATAACCGATCAATAGTCAACACTAAAATGTCTTATATATCTGTTTACAGCTACACTACAATGTGGTATAGTGTGTTTTGTAATTGTTCATGTACCACTTTAAAATGCTAAACCAGGGGGTCAGAATGATGCGTAACTCATTTTGAATTCCTCATGCACTCTGCAGAGCTGCAAGGGTTTTATTTCACCTTTGTTTTGCATACTTAAAAAGCAGCGTTGTACCTAATAAAGCCAACCAGACCCTGCCCTTGCCCTCTGCTGTCACTTCTTTCTCCTTACCAACATTTTAAAGCTGTAAAACTGGCAGATTTTGCAAGCAATTATGGTTAACCACATTGTTCAATGATGCAAAACATTAAATACTGCTGCATGCTAATTTCATGCTGTTTGACAATCCCTATCTCCGCTAAAGCCAATATTTGGTCATTAACAATGCCTCAAAACACGGCCTACATGTCATGGCTTTTAAAGCTCTGGCCAGTTTTATTCCTTGTTGGTGCTGCTGCTGTCTCTCAATAGACTGATCCACAGTGCCAAATAATAATCTATGTTATCTGATGGAGAGGATGAGAAGTGAGGTGTGTGTGTGTGTGTGTGTGTGTGTGTGTGTGTGTGTGTGTGTGTGTGTGTGTGTGTGTGTGGGCAGGGGGTAGATGAAAGTGGACTGGAGCTTAGAGACACTGAGTCACTCCCTGTGCAGGCTCACAAACAACTGGATAAAAATAGAAAAAGCAGGCAGATGAAGACAGAAGACAGACAGACAGCGAGATGAAGGGAGGCAGGTGGACAGACAGTGGGGCGGGCAGGCACAACAGGCAGACCAACAGACAGGCGAGACAGACAGGTTGGCAGAAAATCAATCGACTTAAATCGAGGGAGCAATCAGATAGGGGAGATGGAGGAAGGGAGCAATACGAGAAATGTAAATATTGAGAAACACACAGGAAGAGGGCGAGAGAGTGAACGTTTCAGAGAAAGAAGATGAAGAAGAAATACAAATAGACTCGGTTGAAAAGGAACATAAGACAGGTTGGACAACTCAAAACAGAGACAAAACGATCTAGACAGAGCAGCAGAGTAGAAAGATCACTTGACTGCAGGAAAAAGAAAAGCATAATTTATTCTGGACTTATTTTGCATTACCATGTTTGTGTGTGTGTGTGTGTGTGTGTGTGTGTGTGTGTGTGTGTGTGTGTGTGTGTGTGTGTGTGTGTGTGTGTGTGTGTGTGTGTGTGTGTAATAACCCCTCTAAGCAAACACTGTCTGACTATTCAACAGGTTATTTCTATTCAGACTTGAACGCTGTTTGCATTAGTCACCTCTCTGTTTGTCTCTAGCACCATTCAGATGAGTCCTTGTGAGGTGAATGAGCAAGAGGAGAAAACGATGAATACTGTAGAGTATTGTGAAATGATGACACACTCGAGAGTAGGATATCTGCCCATATGAAGAGCCAACACTGTGGCAAAAATTTCAATGTAAAGATATCTTATAAGCATCAGATGGAAAAGCAATTTTACTCAGTGTAATGAAGCAGACATATTCTTCCCAAGAGACAACTCAATATTATAACATTATCTGCCTATGAGCACCACAGAATGGATTTACTAGCCACTGATCCATGTTTACTAGCCAGTGATGTATATCTACTAGCCAGTAACCTGTGTTTCATAGCCTGTGGCCCTTTTTTTGACTAGTCACTGACTTGTGTTCAGTAACCACTGACTTGTGTTTACTAGCCACTGATCTGTGTTTACTAGCCACTTATCTATGTTTACTAGCCACTGATCTATGTTTACTAGCCACTGATCTGTGTTTACTACCAGCACAACTATGTTTTATAAGGCCGTGATGTGTAGTTATTGGTCACTGACCAGTATTCCTAGAAGCATGATTAATGTGTTCAGTAAAGGCTGGAACATGCACTGATGCAAATGAAATTAATTTGTATTATTTACCAACCGTTTATCAGTTGCTGACAAAGTCTAGTCATTTGTTTATTAGCCACTGACACATAAATAGACATACGGGTGGTTCTTCTAAACTAATCTCCTGAACTGTTAACTAGCCACTAAACTGCAGTTACTACAGTTGAATCTGTAAGAGACACTGACCTGTGCGTTGGCTGTGGAGTCATTCAGAGCTCTCTGCAGGGCGTGGCTCAGTCCTTTAGAGAGGTTCTGTTTCAGGATCAGGTCTAGGCGGTTCCTACGTAGCTCAATGGACAGAACTGTGAAGGTAGAAGTATAAGAATCAGAGCTCAATGACTGTGTTCAGTGAATTCATATTTAGCTTAATATTCTGTGACAAATCTCACTTTCACCGTACCTCCCTTGTTACCTCAAAGAACGACATAATGCCATACTTTATTGATCCCCCTGAGCACCATGAAGCTGGTAGGGATTTAATATCTTGCCAAAGGACACTTAAGGACACAGGAGCTTGGACTCTGGCCTCCGGTTTAATGTCTCCTTGGTCACTTTGCAAAGCTGCTGCCAACCCAGTAAGTGCCTTAGTACTCCGCTAAATGTAATCAAAGGTTGCAGTCTCATGCTTCTTATTAAAGTGTTTATGCTTGAGGAAAATCTGCCCTTTTAATTAATTTGTGCACATGTAATTACGTCTTGAACACAAAAGGTATACTGAGCCTGAACTTCTAAAATGGCATTTCACGTGTATTCATCATTACTTTGTAATCATTTTTCCAGAAGAATGGCTAAGCCCTGCCTGTACCTAATGTTAAGTGTGTTGTAGGTAATTTGATAAGGGGTGTGCGACCAAAGTAGCAGTGCTGTTTCAGAGAAAGCCCTGATGTTTTAGCCATTTATCTTACTGTTTTTATTCTATGTTCTCTATTTCCCACACACGAAATGGAACATTATTTTATTATCATTTTCTTACTCCAGATAAATCCCAGTGATGGAGTTTTAGTCTCGTACCTGTTCTGACCCAGTACTTCTCAGTCACGTTGCAAGGTAGAGGACTCTCCTCTGCGCTGGTACTCGATGGAGGTTCTGTAGTTGTGGTGGGAGGCGGTGTGGTTTGGACTGGGATGAACACAGTGGTGGCAGGTACCTTTGTTGTTGTGGTTGTAGTGGTAGTAGTAGTGGTGGTAGTAGTAGTAGCAGGTGTAGTAGTTGTAGTAGTGGTTGGAGGAGGAGTAGTAGTAGTGGTCGTGGTTGGGGGGACAGTAGTAGTGGTGGTAGTAGGGGCAGGTGTGGTTGTAGTGGTGGTTGTAGGCTGAGTTGTAGCCGCTGTGGTCAGTTTGAGGCTTGTCGTTTCCTGCATGGTTGTCGCAGCACTGGTATTTGGTGCTACTGTTACGCCGCTCCCAGTGGTCACCGTCTGCGTCATCTCAGCAGCGGTCACAGTAGGAGTGGTAGTTGAGGGCGTCGTCATGGTTACTGTCGTCAGCTGAAGGCTGTCCTTGGTCACAGTGTCCTGGCTAGTGGTGGGAGAGACCGTGGGGGATCCTGATGGTGTTTGTGCTCTTGCCGTGGTGGATAACGGTATGGTTGAGGTGGTGGTGGGTGACAGAGATGTGGTCACGGTGGTGGTTGACATGGTCGTCTGTCGTGAGGTGTTTCTGGTGCGTGCAGGTGCAGTGGTGTTCCATTGGTGGGTGGAGAAAGGGCTGGTGACGTTGGCAGGAAGAGTGACGTCATGGTCGCCCACTGTGGACAGGAGAGACTCCGGGACAGTGGGGAGATCCCAGGCTGGCAGGCTGCTCACCGACTCCTCTGCAGGGAGGAAAATTATCATATTAAAGGTAGTCTAGTGATATTCTAACGTTTTTTTGTCAACTAATACTTTAAAAGTCAAACACCAATTAAAGCTGCAAGCAGCGTTGAGCGGGACCTCACACTCCACGCAACTCGGGGTGTGCTGCGGATGTGTCCCGTGCCGTCGTTACACGTGCGGACCACAACATGACAATTTCACGTAAATCAGCTCAAAATCGCCACTCAGCGCTTACTTCCTGTTGCCAGTGGGTGCCGCTATTACTATGTCTTAATATTGTCATGTAAACGTGTTAACGGCGGGACTCTTATCAAACACGTGAAGTTTCATTGAGATTGGACCACATATGCTGAAGTTATGAGGATGTGTTCAGGGCGGAATGTTACAGAATATATGAAGTTTAGTGGAGATTGGACACTGCACACTGAAGTTATGAGTACTGTTTAATGGCGAATCTGCTGAATTCGACAAGTCGTCACTGGCACGCGGTTTAAGTCACAAATAGCTCAACTTTTCATCTAGTTTGTATGACCACAGAATTCAAAATGGCCAACTTTGACGGCACGCCACAGACACGCCCTTCAACGTACAGTCTCAAATAGCACAACTTTTAATCAGCACCATTTTTTGACTGTACTGACCAATTTTGAAGTAGATCCGATAAATTCCCTAGGAGGAGTTTGTTCAAATGCAAGGCGAAAAATTGCAGAAAATGGCTGCAAAATTCAAAATGGCCAACTTTGACGGCACACCACGGAAACGCCCTTCAACGCACAGTCACAAATAGCACAACTTTTAATCAACAACATATGTTGACTGTACAGACTAATTTTGATTGACTAATGTTTGCTAAAGTGTTCAGCTGTTTTAGCCTATTTATGGGGATGAGAACCCCAGACACGATAGAAAAGTCTGAAAAAAATTAGTAAGTGTAGTTACAATAGTTATTGTTTTTGGTCTCTTTATGGCATTTGTTGACAATAACCAAAATACAGAATATCGCAAACCTTATCCTTCAACATATATAACATGAGACCATGATAGTGTCATATGGACAGAAAACAGTGTAAACGCCCCCATGATACATGCAAGAAGCCAAAAACAAATGCATCTTAAATCCACTTAAAGCAACAACACAAAAGGATCCAAACATAAAAAAAGACATGCAAATAAAACAGTTGGCAGTTGGTTAATAACAAACCTTTCAAGATTGAATTGTCAGTTTACTCATAAATGTCAATATTATTGTCAATTTGAAAATACATAAGATGAAGTGCGCAGAAAATATCCAATTTTAATGTGAAGGGGAGAGGAGCATTTTAATGTCGGGTTGGGTTGATTTAATCCATCTAAATCATCTCTAGACAACACACTGAAGTCAGATGCATATCAATGAGAGGTGTAAAGGAGGCTGGAGCAAACAACAGAGAGGCAATCAATCCATTCAGACTGAAAGAGATCCCAATTCCCTCTTATCCTCCCCTCACATCACCACATAAGGACATGTTGTATTGTGAAGCGATGTGATAGGAAATACTGGGCAATCAGATAATGCATTTTGTTTATTCTTGTGTTGGAAACTAAAATATATGTGGAGGAATTACCTGGTTGATGATGTCACTGTTACTGTGACGATGGTATGACAGGAAGTGGAGAAACATGGAGGTGAGGATGATGACAATGATTATTAACGATGACTCAAAAAGGCTGAAGGTTAAACAAAACCACTGCACTGACCTTTGCAAGGCCCACCCCCCTTACTCACTGTTGCCTGTCAAGCTTTCCATTTTCACGTATTCAGTGTATTCAGTTTACAAAGACGCTGACAGTTTTACCATCAAAATGAGTTTTTTCTGAAACCAAAGCAGGGTTCTCATTTCCATACCACCGTCAAATCCATCGGCTAAAATCACAATATTGCTAGCAGATTTTATCAGCTAGCTAATTAATGCTTACTGCATGAGTTGTTTGAAAACTTTGTCTGTGCCTGCCAGGTGACTTTTAAACCTTTTTCTGCTGGCTTGTGCTTAAAGACTGAAGCTAAAGCTAAAGTCCCAGGTAAAAAGTCAACATCCTCACCAGATGAGGATTTGTGTAGGACATGGAAATGAGGATTGTCATTGTTCTTGTATCCAATGCTCAAGTACAAATGTGTCTTACTAGAGCCCCATGCACATTGTTTTGGCATGAGGAGAAATCTAAGGTTGACAGGTCTGCTGTGCTGTGTATGGATGCTAAGCCATGATTGGCCAATTGCTGTTTGGGGGAGGGGTTTAAGAAGCGATGAATTACACTACAAAAAGTTGAAATTTGTGAAAGACCGAACAGCTCTGCACCATACCCAAACTGGAGCTGCTGTTGCTGTTGGAGGAGTTGCTGTTGACGACAACCAGAGAGACGTTGTCTGATCCTGCTGTCTGAGTGTCTCTGTTACTGGCTGGTGAGGAGGAGGAAGAGGAGGAGGAAGGCAAAGAAGAGGCTTTTGTTGCAGAAGAGGAGGAGGAAGAGGAGGAGGAGGAGGAGGAGGAGGGGAGGAGGCCTTGGATGATGATGAAGAGGAGCCTGTGGCCCAAGCAGCTTTAGACAGCAGTCCTAAAGGTTTTCCTAACACTGGTGCCTGCAGCTCCACCGTCTCTGCCAGCACGGTGGAGACTGATGAGAAGGCCGCCTGCTCTCTTTGGCCCTCTCCACGTGTCTGCAGCCTCCGCTTCCCCAGCCAGGCAGCCGGGTCCCTGGGCATGCTTGGCAGGTCACCCCCCTCTGCATCCCTGGGTCTCCATTCAGCCCCGACTTCAGCCCAGGTGCTTCTCCCCGTCATAATCCCAGTCTCTGCAAAGACTTTGGCACCTGCCACACGGGCTCTTGCTTCTGCTTCAGTCCAAACTGCTGTTCTGGCCCCAGCAAACACCTTACCCTCAGGCAATGCTCCGGGTCCGGCTCCAGGATCGCCCTCAGTCCCATCCATCGCATCTTTGTCTTCAGACCTAGCTCCATTGCCAGTCCCAGGGGTAGCTGAGAGGTTGGAGGGCACAGCCCGTCTCATTGACTCATGGTGACCTCCCTTAGCTGTAGGAAACAGGATAGAGAGGAAGATGGAGAGAGGGGTGGGTGAAAGAAAAAGAAGAAAATGTTTAACTTAATTAGGAGTTATTGGAAGCAGAAACATTGTGGGCAGTCTTTGACTCATCTGTCCCACAGGCCGGAGTCTCAGTTCCTTGTTTAACTCATATAACATGTCCTTCCACACACACAGTCCTCAAATCAGTAGTCCACATAATGCCACCACAACTTTCCAACTACCAGGAGATTTAAAACCGCTCTGCTCGCACTCACACACTCTCATCATGAGAGCATGCACACTTACACACCACTCTCCAGCAAATATGCACATATGCATATTCTTGCTCATTCTCTCCTCTGTCTCACACACACTTATCCAAAGGGATTTAAAAAAAAGCTCTAAAACTGAGATTGTGGGGAAATAGTAATAATGTCTAAAGTAGGTCACTTATGTTTTTAGAGGATAAAGCATAGGAAATTCATTTCGATGTTCCGGAGTGCATAAATTAGGACACACACACACACACACACACACACACACACACACACACACACACACACATATATACACACACCCTAATCAGCTGTGATTTCACTGATAGTAATCTGATCTGTTAGGTTAGCCATGCTAGCCTGTGGATTTATTATTTCAAGAACATACACAACCACTCAGCTCATAGCTCAGACCAATGCTGATGACACTGACGTATATTTTCCAAGCAAAGTTGGTTGGTGTGAGTTATTTGTAAGTAATGACGAAGATGAAGTTTATGGAGTCGTTTTTCATCTTTTCAAATTTTACACCAAATGAGTCAGATTATAGAAATGGAGCAGCAAAGATAGCATCCAGTCAAAGCATTTAGCTTCGGCCTTTATCTCCACTCTGTGAACTGTCTTCATCTTCTCTGTAGCCTCAACAAAGCCTGAAGGTTTGGCAGGCTGAGGCGATTATCCTGCCTAATACATTCAGTCTCAAAGGCACCTTGCTTTAGTGGAATTGAAAGATGAGAAAAAACAAGGCTGACCATCTGACTGGCTCGCTGGCTGCCTCACTGGGTGACACAGTTTATTGCATCTGCTCATTTGTTCTGAAGTAGAAAGGTTTGGCTTTGGCGTCAATCCAGGCTGACGTAGAGTTTCTCCTGTTCTCCACGTAAAATATCATAAGAGGGAAACGAGCGCCAGGGAGAGTAGGTTTTTTACATTTATTTAAGCGCACACTCACTTCAGCCTGAAAATGTGTTAAGCGTGCATGTGTGTCGCACACTTCCCACGCTCCCTATGTCTCTGCGGAGGATTGGTTAATTAAAAGACAGTGATTCTGAGCAAGAGAGGCTTTATAGAACCAGCTCTGGGCTTAGCTGCTGTAGATCCTCTGGACACCTGCTATAAAGCATTTCAACCACCCCGCTATTAACTACCAACACCGAGCAATCTGTTCCTCGTTATAGGATGTCACATAAATGTCATTAATAGAGGAAATTAATTGATAGACAATTCATATGTCAGCTTCCTTGGGTCTATGTTGTATGTTAGTGTCAGCATCCAGGGCTCCATCAGTCGGTTGGAGAGAGGAGAAAACAACAAAGCTAGAAATGGCAGAGGCAATTACTTTGGTGCGGCAGGGAGAGTAACATTCTTGTTAAACCTAAGTGTCACATTTCATCTTTTTGCAGCAATTCATCTAATCCAGAATCCACTACAGCTTTTCACTATGTAGTGTTGTGTTTCTTTGCTGGCTCTAAACAGTTAGTAATGTGAAAGGAAAATGAATTCTGATAGTAAGTTCCGCCTGAACACAAAGACTCCTGCTAACATCACGTTTAAAGGAGAAATGTTTGACATGCAGCAGCAGTATCATCCGGACATAGTATGGACCTCTCACCCACAGATAAAGACACTGGCTCCAACAGTCAGCAATGTACAGTCTAACATCAAAAGCCCTCAATGAAAGCTGCACTGAAATGACTGTATATAGTAATTACCTGACCATACATAGCTCTGTTTTTTTTTATTTTAAAGGGATATCAATATTTGTATATAAACAATGGATGAAAGGACTATGAGTAACGTGAAAGGACTTCTACTGTGCATTATTACCCAATACTGCAGTTCCCCTCAGCTTTACAGAGCATTTTAGCATCTTTAAGCTCATTGTTTTGGTTTTCCGGCCCATAAGTTCTCAGCAGCAGGGAGCTGTTTTCAGCATGAAAGCTCTGATAAACAAACCGTACCAGACGTGCCCAGCACCGTACGGCACACAAGTAAGCTTAGCAACTAGCTGGTGAAAATAGTGAAGAAATTAGCAGCCAAAAGAGTTATTTAAAGAGGTAAAGAGATATTTCTTCAATAATTGGTGAAGACCAAAAGAGAGCTAAAAGAGAGTGAATACTGTTTTATACAATTCGCCACAACAGTTGAATGGTGATAACATGTCAATGTTGTGTTTACAGCTATTTATTTCTTCACTATACTGCCATTAAGTGGTCCATATGAATGAATGAATGCATATAGCTTTAAGTTATGCTTCTATTTATTCAGAATATTCGTTTCTGATGGTCTGAAGGTCTTGCCTGCTCTGATTTGCATATATTATATATTTATTCAAATATTTCCCTTTTGTTTGTAATTTTTATATGTACTTACTTACAATGTACCAGTATGTCTTGCATTAATGGACCAGTGTATAGGAGTTAGTGGAATCCAACGCTGAAGTTGCAGATTGCATCTAACTGAACACTGCTCACGTCTGTATTTGATGACTTGGAATTGAGAACAGGCCGTGAAGTATTCAGGAGAAACTACGGTGGCTGTGTAACTTATGAAAAATGCAAAAGGACCTATTTGTGTTGTGTTTGGTCCGTCTACTCCGGGCTACTGTAGAAACATGGCAGTTCAACATGTCTTTAGATAAAAATGTCTCATTCTATGGTAACGAAAACAATGATTCCTATATTCAAGTTATTATACATTAATGAAAACATAGTTATGAATATTATATTCCATTTCTGCCAAGAGAGCCTCCTAAATGTTACACACTGGACTTTGAGTTGTTCCAGCACTTTTTAACCCATACCCTATTAAGGACCAATATATGCCATGAGTAACAATATAACTGGGTCAATAATGGAACCTGTCTGTTTGGATAGCTATTGGGAATCAATTTGTCTGAATGGAGTAATGGAAGGATGAATGGATAGATGGAGGGATGAATGAATGAATGAATGAATGAATGGATCAATGGATGGTGGGATCATTAGAAGGACTGTACCATATGCATAACTGTAAGTAGTGTTTTGAGTGTTTTCTTCTCCAACGGCTAGCCACCTGCTCTGGCTGAGAGCAACATATGTGACTCTACCATCAGACCTCTGACAAAACGCTAGGAAAGAAGAGCCTCCACTGAGAACAAATATGGACAGGATAGATGGATGGTGGATGATGGTTGGTAGAACAGAAAGTGTGGATTAAAGATGGATAAATGTGGATCAGAACTGACCTGCTTTATTTATTTGGACACACAGGACATTTTTTTTACCTATTTCTGTGTGAGAACATACAGCTTATAGCAGATTATGAGAGTCATAAATGGAAATGGTGCACAAAGCACTACTGGTCATTTACAAGGCTTTAGACCAGTGTCATGTTATGAATTGACCATAGTGCCTTGCCAGCTGGCATTGGGTCTACTGCTGTTCCCCCGCTGAATGTCTGTAGATGCCAACCCAACCCTGTAAAGCCTTGCCAGGTCACTACAAGCTTTCTGACCATTCAGATTAGCCGTACCCAGGTGCCAGTTATAATATAATAGTAAAAGTCTATGGCCATGGCTTCACTCTCCTCAGTCCCACGTAGCTTACTTGGAGCTGTTGGCCAAGCAGAGTTGATCCATGCTGCCACCCTGACTGTGAGCAGGACAGGTGGTTAGGAAGTGTGAGAATGGTACTGAGCCAACTGGTCCTCAGCTCTGTGAAGCTCAGAGGAAAAAGTGAGGGAGGTGGAGTCTGGTTAGCTGTATCTGCCAACCAGCCAACTGGTGGCCAGTCTTCATTATAGTTATTAAACAGGACAGATGAAAAATAATGCATCTTAATCTCTGTCTCAGAGCTGTCCTGGGCATAATATGTTACTAAAACTAGGCCAGACTTTCTAGTCTAATTTATAAGATTGGGCTGCAGTATAGAGTCACATGATCCACAATAATGAAGACACTGTAGTTTCACCTCATTAGTCCAAGCAAAAAAGTGGTCTAAGCCATGGCAGAAAATTGTTCAGCCTCAGAAAGTGATGAAACAGAAGAACACAATGTGCCAAAAGCTGGGCACACTAACATTCATATACTGTATGTTACTGAGAAGACAGAATAAAAAGTCTGTGCAGATTGTTGGCATCATATTCCAAGATTTAGGGGTAGTAAAAGTCTGCCAAGCTTTCATAAATTCAGTTAAGAGAATAATCAACTAGCACTTCGGGCTGAATAAGTTGATGTGCAGTGTAGTTCCATGTGTTATCTCAAAGCTATATAAGGCAACTTTGTGAGGTAGAAGCAGCCTTAAATGACAGCAAGGAGAAACGGACTGATTTGAAATTCCCATTATGATCTCAGTGAATGATGTAAGTAACAGTGGTAAACTGCACACAGCTTGCTCTTCTTTACAAACCTGTCCAGGGCTGCATACTGCTGTGTAGGATAATTTAAAGTCCCTCACACAGTTCAATTTATCACTTTCGTATAAATGCAACCACACCCAACAAGATCTTTTGCCACACTTGCGGCGTGGCTCTATGGAGAGCAATGTTGGTCGGTTGGTCCGGACTGAAATATTTTGACAAATATTGGACTAATGACATTCCCATCAGCTGTACTCAGCTGCCCTTCATGTTTAGTAGTAATTAGCAAATGTTAGCATGCTAACATACAAAACTAAAATGATCACCACCTGTCAAATACCAGCATGTTTAACACTGTTGTTGCGCACATGTTAGCATGCTAATGTTAACAATTT